AGAGAGAGAGAGAGAGAGAGAGAGAGAGAGAGAGAGAGATCGATCATTGTATGAGTTTTGGTACAGACTTGACTCTCCTAAAAATAGCTATCAGAAGGTTGCAACTAACCAGCAGTGCATGAAATATCTGCTTTTCCAGAGGGAAGGATGAATGATTCAGATTGAAAGCGGATGTAATATAGAGATTAGAGTATTGGATTGAGACTTGGGAGGTCTGGGTTCCAGTCTCCATTCAGCCATGGAACTCCCTGGGTAATTCTGGGCCAGCCTAACCTACCTCACCTGATTGTTGTGTAACTAAGAAGGCAAGCAGGAGGGGAATTATGTAACCCACTGTGGGTTCCTCACAAAAGAAAAAAGCTGAAATATAACTATCAACACTGAGACTTTTGCGTGTGCTAGGGACACACACTTTACAGAAAAATAGAACAGAGAGGTCCAAAGTAAGATAAATGAGCAGAGGCTGGTTTTATATTAGACCCCTTGAGTGAAAGAACTGGGAATTACAGTAAGGTAGGAAGAGAGGGACCCTATGATTATTAGATCTGTAGCGCATACACCTTAAATGTGACAGCGGCATGTTAGATTTGCTCAGAAAATCTACTCACGTCCAGATGGTGTAGGAGAGGAATATGGAGGCACCCAGGAATGAAGGGAAGCACAACAAGGTGATGAAGACAGTGCTCATGTGAGATGCACGCCAGGGTTTACTGGGAGACTGACAATTTCTCATCAAGCTAGTCTGGGAGAGGGACAATACAAAGGTTTTTAACTCACTCACTTGCTCCTGACAGCAGCAATATTTAAATAGAGCACAGCTGTCTACCAAGAAGGACCGACCACAGCAAGTCCCTGCCTGGGAGCTGGTCTTCCCCATTAACTGGTAGCACACATCCAGAACTGCACAGAGGAAGAAGCAAGGTTAAGTGGAAACACAGCCGACTAGGTAAGGGATATGCACCCACTCTCCACTCAGGGTTGCAGGCTCCCCTGAATGCTTCTCAGGCTTTTTAAAAAGGCTTTCAATATGAATATACACATGAATGTGTCACCTGTATTTATAGCTCAGTTTCTTTGAAGCATAAGAACACAACTGCTTCCTGCTGCCCAAGAACCCCTGCCAGTTGCCCTTCCTTCCATTGTCTTCCCGTCAGAGCTAGCGACAGTTCTGGAGTGATCCCCCTCCTCTGCAGTACAGCTTGCTAGCTTTTCGCCTCCCCAACTCCTCAGTTTCACAACACTGCAGCCCTTTCTGTAGTCCTCCTCCCCTGCTCCTGTGCACTCTTCCTCAGTGCAGAGGGAAGGTGCATTAGACCCACACAAACACTGGCACTCAGTTACCTTCTTAATATAGAACAAAAGCAGCAACTTAAGGATTTGAACAACAGGGAGAAGTGGGGCAAAGAAGACTCCCAGCCTGGAAAAAAAGGGAGACAGACATCGTTACACTGCTTCGCTGCCTCTGGCAAAGCGCTCATTCAGTGGTGCATCCAAACTCCTCTGCATGTACACCGAGGGTCCCAGGTTCAGTCCCTGGCATCTCCAGTTAGGACTGGGGGGAGACATTTGTCCGAAGGCAGCTTCCTTTACTTATGAGTAGGAAGCCACCTTGAGCACCTTGATGAACCAGGGCACACATCTTTCAAATAAATAAGCTACATAAATCCCAAAGATCCTCAACCTTCTTTGACAGTAGTTCAGTGCTTTTATCTTCAGAAGGAACTGATCAAAGAACAATATGGGAAGTAAAGGACAGCAGTAATCCAAAATAGGAGATGGGAATCAGAATCCCCTACCAGATCAGAGTCTGTCCATAAATCAGTTCCAGAACATTTCTAGCAATGTCAAATTCAGGTCTCCGTTTATTCTGCAGCTTCTTCTCTAAAATCACTCTAAGTGGAAGAAAGAGAGGGAGAATTCAATTTAGAAAGTAGAACTACCAAGAATCCAATTGTTTTAACCCATCAAATAAAAGAGGAGCACCCCAGCTATGGAATAGGCTTCCCAAAGAGATGTGCCTGGCACCAACTCCTTTTTCATTTTGGCGCCAGGCTAAAACCTTTTTATTTTCCCATTATTTTAAATGTTAATAGTGTTTTAAGATTGGATTTTATTTACTGTAATTTGGTAGCTGCATCTTATTTATTTTATTGTATTAAATAAGGGCAGAACATGAAAGCTTAAAATCAAATCAAATCAATTAAAAGCACCCTGTAACACTGAAATACGCAAACAGGGCTTCATTTGCACAGATACCTTTCCCTTCCATTAATCTTTCTTGAGGAATTTTCTATTCCATGTCTCACAGTGGGTGGAGGAAACAGCCCAGTCCTAACCACATTTACTCTGAATTAAATCCCATAGATTTCTAGGTAATTAGAACAGTCCGAATTATGTTTTGGAATGCTGTAGAAAGGCGCAATCTGAATTCCCATGGCAAACATCCCATCATTTTTTAATTCATCTGACTGGCATCCAGAGATCCTCCACTGTCACATGTTAAAAAGGTATATTCTTAATTCCACTCATAAACATGTTCCAACGTTTGGTGCAGGGGAATTCTATCCTTTTAGCAGTCTCTTATTACTGCAAATGTAAGAAGGTGTACGTTGAGTGACACTGAATCTGTGGCTCCACAATCTTGGACAGATGGAACATGGTACCACCTGGCCAGGCCAGAGAATGTCACAACTTTGAGGAAAGGGGTGGCCTGAAGAGTACCTCCACATCAGCTCTCCAAAGAGGGTGTCCAAGAGGCTGAAAATGAAATCCATCACCACCAAGCGGTATAACTCCTGCCCCACAAAGGTCTCCCAGCACTGTGGAAGGACAAGCACAGCCAGCATCAGAACAGGCAAAAGGAAGGCTCCACCTCTTCCCCCATCACTCACCCTCCCCCATAGCCAGGCAAACAAAAGCACAAAACTGTGAATTGGTCCAAAGGCCACCCAGGCACAATGCTCAGGTCCTTTGCGTTCTTGGGAACAGAAAAGGCTCTTGATATGAGCCTGCTGGTAGCATGTACAGGATCCAGCTCTAAGAATTTCTAGCCTTTTACAGCAGTGTTCAGGATGACACCCTAAGCAAAAGAAAAAACTGGTCATTGGAAAAAGTGCATCCCACTTTCAAAGGACTCTTCTTTCTTTCATATTTGGCAGCCATGAGCTATCATGCTTGAAGCTATTTGCTCAGCCACTGGACCCACAAAGGACTCGCTTTTGTTCCAAATACCAAAAGCTGTTTTTTCTGCGTGGCTCACTGTTCAGTCAGAGATCACAATGGACCAGCCACTGTGGGAACTGTTGCAGAAGCAGCCTTAGCTGTCACAAATTCATACTGACCTGAATCTTTGAAGATGTCACTTTCCGACTGAGCCAATGGTAGCACAACAGGCCTAAGATAACCATCTTCAGAATTAAGTTCCTGCATAGGGAAGAAGGAAATCATCTCCTAAGATGGAAGAGAGTCAGAGTCCCTCCCCGAGTGAGGTAGGGCTCCTCTCATCTTCCAGCTCTTATCTGTAGGCACAGCACAAACCAGCCTCCCCCTACCTGGTGCCCGCCAAATTACTGGACAACACCCGCCGCTAGCTAGCCAGGTGGTATGGGCACTGTGGCCCTACACATCTCACTGCTTCTGGCTTGGTCTCCACTGTTAAGAGGCAGAAAATCAGAAAGAAAAAGCAACATGGGATGACTTCCCTTGGATCTTTGTAGGCTTTTCTACAAATAAGGGCATTGGGGAGGACGTCTTAGGGAAGGGATCCAATCCTTCCTCTTCCCTCTCCATCGGTAAGGTTGTAGAGGAAGGGAAAAACTCCATCCCTTCCAGATATGAGGACCAAGTGTAGTGTCTGGACTTCTAGTGGCAGCAACTCACACAGGAAGAAGGGGTGCTGATTCTCAGGCCTGTGAGCTGGGCCCGCCTTGCCTAGTGTTCCAGTTCCACCTTCTGGGGCAGAGACCTATGCTGAGCCCTCCAAAGGTACCCATGAAAGAGTTCCCGATCTCCCCCCATCTTTTAATGTATGTATGTGGATTTGTATGAAATGCATATAACTTTCTAACAATTATTCATAGGTTTCAATGAAAGTGGACAAAATATCCACTTTCATTAAACGAATAGCCATTGAAAGTCGCTATCTATATGCCACCTGTTCACATATTGCAAAAGTTGTAAGTTCCTCCATATATTTCATTACAGGAGGTGGGAGTTTATCCTTCCAGTTTTGTATTATTAGTATTCCAGCTGTCAAAAGGGTAAAGAAAATCAATTTTCTCCTTCCATTTTTAACTTTCCATTAAGCAGGCAAATAATTCAAAGGAGTATGTACATCAGTTAATATTAAAGACTGTTCCAGTACAATTTTTTTTCTGTGTAATACTTCTTTCTGGGTATTCTCCTCTGGGAAAGAAGCAATTACTGAATATTACCAGAACATATGTTTAAAAGAATCATTAGCTTTAGTGCATTGCCAGTAATTAGCCAAATTAGACAATCCATTATTGAAGAAAAGTTGTAGTGCCCAACAGACATAAAACAAAAGTTTTACTGAATAAGATGCAACCAAGATCCACAGATGGAACAGAAAGAAACCAAAGCGGCAATCCACTGATTAGGCATTTGGGGTGGTGCCTACGGCAGTTTCCCAAATGTGAACGCAAGTCTAAAATCCTTGGTTAACCTCTGCTCTGGGGTATCAAAGATGGCCACACCCCTTCTCTTTCCTCACCCTTTTTCCCAGACTGCCAATTGTTTGGTGATTTCCTGGCTTTAGCATAGCATTTTCTTCCTGTTCTAAAAGGCTGAAATCCATCTGTTGAAGCTTAGTTGCTGACAGTCAAAATATGCTAGCATTGTGGCTCTGCCCTATCTCAGCAGTAGGCATGAGCTGCTGAGGAAGGACTGCCAAGAATCTTAGAAGGGCCCAAGCAGGGCCCTGCTTCTCTTCTCCGCTTCCTTTAGCTGGCCCCACTTTTCAAGCACCTGTTGTTGAGGGTAAGACAGTAGCTCTTGGAGCGCATTCTCAAGGCCTGTTGGCTGGACTTCCAAGGAGGAGGAAGAGGAGCAGGAGGGGGCCTTGGAATGTGGCCCAGTTCCAGATGTTGAGATAAGCAGAGATGCTTATCTCAAGACCAGACTCCCCAGGTGGGCAGGCAGCCTCTGGGAATAACCAAGATGCTCTGGAGGAGACTTTGAACAGGGGAGTTCTCAGAGACACATGAAGCAGGTATGGCTCTGCACCCATGACATGAATCAACAAAGAAGGATGGCTCGGTTCGGCATGCAGCAAGGTGTGCTAGCTTTCAGAAGGCCCCTCCCAAAGGGATGGTGCCCAGGCATATTTGTAAGGAGAGTTCCTGAAGGTGAATACTAGAATGGGTTCAATGAACTACTCTATGAATGTTCAGAGATTCATTCTGGTTGTTTGTGCTTTGGGAAAATACTTTGGCCAATAAAGAATGTTTTGCAGGAAAGGTCTGTGGCTTTGAATGTGCAGAGGAACCTTAGCTCATGACACCTGGGCACCTGCTGAGCCTGCAGGCCCTGGAACTCCATTTCAAAAGGAATGCTTGGTGCCAGCATCAGGCCCTTTGGTGTGTTCAGGGCCTTGGTGGGCAAGAGGGCCTTTTAAGTTGGCTGCAGCAGCCGCAGGGATTTTCAGTAGCAGATGGACAGGTTGGGAGTGTCTGGCTGGCTGCAGGGGTGAGGTGGGTCTTCATAAACATTATTATGTGAGGGCCCAGAAGACTGGTGCCAGTCCTGTCCTGTCCCTTTGCCCCCACCCATTTTGCCTATGGATCCCCAAGAGGTGCTTACCCCAAAAAGCTTTTCCAAAACTGAATGTGATGCACAGGCTGGAAGACGTTTGATGAACCTAAAGCAAAGTCTAGGCCTAGAAAGTGCAGAACCAGCAGCCCGCCCATTCTCTCCCCTCCCCTCCATTTCAAGTGCCAGACTCTGCATTACCTGCTGATGGCGACATACACCTTGAGGCCTGGATGCTCCTGCTTTTCCCAAACAGCCAGGAGGTTATACATGTAGGACATGAGCAAGTTGATCAGAGATACGAGCACAGGCAGGGCCAGAAGAAGGGCTTCCTTCCCAGTGTGGCTGCTTGTCAAGAGCATCTCTTGGTGAACCTGTAAAGGAGGTGCTCATCGCATTATTCTCTGCTCCCACCACAAAACACAAACAGGACTGCACTTAATGCAAACTGAGCTGCAGATAGTACGTGAGAGTTAAACAACAGAGGCTTTTTGTCAACAACATCACAATGACAGCATTTCCAATTCCCTGTGCTTGAACTCTCTGTAACATTGCTGAGAACTCAACCTGAAGAGCCCCCTTCAAGTCATACAGAAATTCAAAATTTTTGTATTTATGAATGTAACACTAGTGTAACCGAAATTGTTCAGCTCCAACAGCATCCTTAGTTGTGATCATGCTGAGAAGACAATTGCTGGCACTGAACTTTCTGCTTAACTGCCCACTTTTAAAGTAAGTGTGGATGCGGCGTTCTTTCTCTAGCCAACAATGTGCAGAAGGCGAGAATCAATGTATGGATGGAGACAGGCCAAAATGAACAATGATTAAGCTTGCTCTTACAGGTATAAAAACATCTGGTTTGTTAATGCGTGAAGCTGATCTCTTATGAAGGAGGAACAGGCTGTTCTGTATTGCTGGGTGCATGCTCCAAAAAAGAGTTTTGGGGTTTTTTTAATCTTGCAGGTGGTTTGTTCTCTCTTGTGGTTAGAGAAACTTGTGGAGAAAATAGTCCTGTGTGTAAAAAATTGAATTATAAACTATCCTTTTCCAAACAAGTTCTGCAGACATATTTAATGTTATCTATTCAAGTTACCTGAACCTCAGTCTACCACAGGGATGGGCAATTTGTGGTATTTCAGATGTCTTGCCCTACAAAGCATTAGCCATTACGGCAAAGGATTCTGAAAACTGTAGGCAAAAACATCTGGAGGGCCACCAGCTTTCTAACCCTGTTTTATCATGTAAGTCCAGTGAACGTTCCCCTTCCCGAAAAGGAGTCAAGAATCCCCTGCCAATGAGTCAGAGCCCACAATGGTTGCTTAGACTGGAGTAGAGCCTTGGATGGGACCATAGGGCTTCCTCACCTGGTGAATGTACTCAGAGAAATAGTATACACCCAAGATACAACCGAAAACACTGCCCAGGAATAGCGTCCAAGCCAGCAGCTGGATGACCAGCCTCTGCAGTTTCTTACACAGGCTCAAGGGATGAGAGCTGGACCACCGCTCAGCCAGGCACTCCTGAGAATGCAAAAACGAAAAGGCCACCCCATCAATAAGGCACACGATGAAAGGGCCTGCAACATGGCTTGTTTGATATGCAGCCAATAGGGAAAGCACAGCAACCAAGCTCCATCTTGGGGCAAACAAGATGCCCAACGTGAAAACACAAATTGTGCTGAGGGAAATCATAGAGCCCAAGGAAAGAAAAAGGCACAGAGTGTGGCAAGAACACCGGGTTTCAGGCAACTTAGGCTACTGTCTCCAACATACTTTATAACACTCTTGCTTCATTCCTTGGAAGCAAAGCTTGAAAGCCCAGGGCAGACTCTTCTGTAAGGGAGTAGAACCCTTTTTCTGCTGAAAAATCCATTTGCTTGGGGGTTCTGCCTGGGTGCACATGACAGTAAAAATCCAAAAGTGCTCCTACCCCTTTCTTTCCCTCTCTCTCTCTCCCTCCCAGCAAGCTAACCGGCAAGGGACAGACTGGTCTTGCCAGGGCCCTGGGCTGAGTTGCCACAAAGGACTTTTAAAGTTAGACAGTTGTGCAAGGAGCTTGATGGCTGCAGGGGCCTCAGGTCTCCATTCTCTGAACATTCAAACATGCCATGCTTGAGGGTACCTGAGGAGGAAGGCCTCTCAAGATGCACAAGTGGGACAGGTGGCGATGCTGCCAGAGCACTTGAGGCAGTCAGTAGAGGAATGCAGAGGAGAAGAGAGAGAGAGGAGAAGTATTTCTGCATTTTCTGGATGTGTTTTTCCTCTCCAGTGCTGAGCCCAGCAGCTGTTCTGCCAATAGAGCAACAGCGTGTCTCTGCTCCTGGTGTAGCATAAATACAGGATTACACTGTCTATTTGTGATGTCAGGGCTTTTAACCTCTGTTCTTCTATACACTATTTGTTTTCTGTAATCCGGAAGACAAAAGCAGCGGATACAGGAAGCAGCAAAAACTTACTTCAACAAGGGTGATAAAGAATCATGATCCAACCCACAGCCTGCTGTTGTGACGTTACATTTTTATTATGAATTGCATTCTCTTTGTTTCAATTTTTTTGCCCTAGGCAGTTTTTCCTTCATTCTCCCTTATCAGCCCTACTCACTGATGCTAGAAGCATCTTACATGCGATTGATTCAATCATATTGTCTGTCTTTGAGCAACCCCTAAGCTACCTGAAGCTTGGCTAAGCTGCTGAGATATCACAAATAATAACAAACATTATGACTGGATTCACACAACACAACAACCCATCATGATGGCAACCTACAATAGTTTGCCATGTTGAGTGAATTTCATAAGGCTTGTTTGTGGGCCACAAACTATTCTGACAACCCATGGTTTGTTCTTGGGGTTGCTGTACCCATGATGGCTTGTCAGGCCACCTGAATCCAGGCAACCAGTTCTGGTTCGGCTAATGACTCGTATGGCAAGCACAGCACAAACCCCTTGCTGGTTTGCTAAAGTGCACTTGGGCACCAATCTGTATCAGCTGCCTCACAAGTGTTTGTATGTAAGTAGGATCACATATAGTCAGCCCTTCACATTTGTGGGGGTTACAGGGGCAGGACCCTTGTGAAAGTGGAAAAACTATGACTACCGTGTTTCGCTCAAAATAAGACCGAGCCTTATATCAATTTTTGCTCCAAAAGACACATTAGGCCTTATTTGCAGGTGAGGTCTTATTTTTAATCTACAAGAATCTACATTTATTCATGTACAAAAATCTACATTTATTCAAGTACAATCATGTGATCTTGGAACATCGTCATAACTCTCCAAATCCCAAATTGTGTTGCAATGGATGTACTAAATGCATCAGTCTGGCTGACGGTCTTAACTGGGGCTTATTTTAGGGGTAGGGCTTATATTACAAGCATCCTGAAAAATCATGCTAGGGCTTATTTTCCGGTTAGGTCTTATTTTCAGGGAAACAGGGTATCTGTAACCCTCCCAGCAAGCTCACCAGTGCTTTCTAGTTGCACCAAGGAAATGCCAGAGGAATTTGCCTCTCCTGATGGGCAGGGCAGGAAGGCATGCTTTGGAGGGCCTTCCTCTCTCCCCTTTCATTTCCTCTCTCTTTGTGGTGATGCTGATTTTCTGCAGTAATTAAAAAAATAATACTTTTAATGGCAGCTAATTCGTAAGTATGGGTTGTTCGTAAATCAGACACTCATAACTTGGGGACTGCCTGTAATCTACTCTGTGATATATACGGGAGTTATACGTAGAGACAGCAGATTAGATTTGAAGCATAATCACTCAGATGAACTCTGAGCAGTTTAGAGGGGTATCAACACTGTTGCAATATGTTGCACCATTTCTTTCAACTGTGCTTAAGTGCTTTGAATTTCTTATTTCTATTTTCCAAGGCAATGGAGCAAGAGATACAGACCTTCGATCTTCAAAGTGCCAACATCCCGACTTCTCAAGGAGCCCATTTCCCACCATGCTGCATTTCTGCAGTCTGAACCACTCCAGCTCAGCACTTGCCTTCAGATGAGTGCAGATGTTTTCACTCTGAAGTCGGACAGAACGTTTCTGGATCACCTTGTAGTCCCAAGCACAAAAGACTTTAAGTGCCAGGTCACCTGATGCACTGTTCATTCGGTAGCTTATCCCAAAGGAGCGTGACATGCTGTGAGGGGACAATATGCTATCATTCAAAAAAATCTGTCCTCCTACTCAATGGCACAATTCCAGCACTATCATCTTCCACCTGCCTTTCCCCCATCCCAATGGCCTGTTGTACTTTATCCTACTATGGATATGGGAATTATTCCTATCACCTGCATATCTACCTTTGCTTTTTCATTTTTGCAATTGTTCCTACATTGGTTCCCGTCAAATTTTTGACCCTCTGGTTAAGAAGGATGGCAATGCCTACAACCATCAGCCCCACTAAGTTCCAGGGGATTACTCTCTGGCGAGCATGCCAGGGCTGTAACCTCAGATATACCTCATATGCTCAACAGCACAACCTAATGCATATTTAGACAGAAAGAAATCCTGCAACTCATGGTGTTTTCAAGCCACGAGGGCTTTCTGGGTAATGCTGCAAATTGTAGGACTTCTTTTTGTCTAAACTTGTATTAAGATTGCACCCTAAGTTTACAAACTTAAATACAGAAAGAGTGAATAAGACAAAGCCATATTTTGAAATTGGGAACAGATTTCTAAAATTCTGAAATAGAAGTAAAGTCCATGTAGGAATGCCTCTTTTGTTATTATTGCTGGAAACAGAAATTGTTTTGAGACTATCTGAAATATTTAAATTATTTTAAAAATGGCAGTGCAATCCTGTGGCATAGCTCCTCCAAAATAGGTCCAACAAAGTTCAATAAAACATATTCCTAGGTAAATTTGTATAGGACTGCAGCCTACAGAAAGAAATGCTGATAGAGGAGAGGAAACTATTTGTGGGGGACAATCTCTTTTACTTTCAGGTTGATGGTAAAAACCAGGTCAGATGAAGAATCTGGAAAAAGCACAGATACCTTCTAAATGTAACAATGTTTTAAATTTTTCTAAATTTAACAATGGAGGTGACCAATATGAAACCTGGTCCTGACCTAGAGAAAGAGAAACAAATGCCTGGTCCCCATATGAAATGAGCATCTCACCTGTATAACAATAGAATGCATGTCACAAAGAAGGCGACCCCAGTGACGAACACATAAGCCAGGGGCATGTTGTATGGCATTTGGACATCTCTGTTCTGTCTGCAGCGTGTGCTGTTAAAGCTGGATGCGCAGGGGTCATTCAGAGTGAAGTTGCTGTAATAGCCATAATACATCAGTGTTTGAGTGAAGTGGCCCTGTAGAAAGAGAGAGAAATTGATGCCGAGGCCTCACTGCATTAGGAGCTGGCTGTGAACCACAGGGCTTGTTCACATCTGCACACCTGATTACTGTAACACTCAGAGATTATAAGCTTGTGCACATGCTCTAGCACAGATGCTAACCTTAAATGCGGAGCTTTCACACCATCTCAGATGCGGTATTTTTGAAGGGATCAGCGCATACATTCAGCATACAGTAATCATGGAATCTCAAACTGTGGCTGTACATATGAGAACCATTTCCAGATTGCTACAACTAGAAAGCTAACACTTGATACTTCATCAATATATTTTAAATATTTTGCTTTCTATTTTAACTTAGTATATTGTGGGTATTTTATTCTGAAAACGAATTCTTCTGGTCCCATCATGCTAGAAACAGGGATTACCCCATAAAGTGGGAGATTCAGGACTTATAAAAATAGGTACTTCCTCACACAGCGTATAGCTGCATTATGGAATTTCCTACAACAAGAAGTGGCCAACTAACCTGGGCGGCCTGGGAGGGGATGGGGCAAATTCATCAGCAGGAAGGCGCACCATGGCCTTAGCTGCTGCCTCCACCATCAGAGGCAGAAGCTCCCCATATGCCAATTGCTGGGAAGCACAAGTGAGAGGATCTCACTGCCCTGGATTCCTACTCATGGTCTTTCCCTGGCCAGCTGCCTGGCCACAGGAGAAACAGGATGCTGAATTTCGATGGACCCTTGGCCTCATCTTGCATGGCCCCTTTTCTTACGAACTGACCACTGGCATTTTCCTTCTGGTGAGGTATATACTCTGAAGCCATGTGGAGGGAGCCTGGGAAAAGGCCGCTTTATCACATAGCACCTCCATTGCTAGACATGCATTGGCTTATTGTGCTTGCGGGAGGAGAAGGACGTCAGATTTATCTAAGGGGTGCTCACCGCTCCAGTGAGCAGCTCAAGTCCTCTGAAGGCTTCACTGTTGGGGCTGGCAGAAGGGTATGCAGCCTGCACAGCAACCACAAAAACCAGCAGGAGCAGGAAAAAGAGGAGATTGAACAAGAGCAGAGTCTTTAGGAACAGGAAGTAGGAGAGGATGCTAGAACCAAAGCGACCACCGATCTGCTTGAGGGAATAATGCCAGGGCTGGAGAGTGTGAGGGAATGACAGCAGACCGTACCAGAGATTCCGTAAACCCTGTAAGGAAAACAAGATACAGTCAGAGAAGCCCTTCAGTTTAAGAGATGGCAGACCTGAACATCCAGCACCTGAGCTCACCAAACAGTCTCTTTGGGCTCCTTTTAATTTCAATCCTTTTCAGTCATTTCTTTCTTTCAGTTCATTTTTATACTGCTCAATAGCCAAAGCTCTCTGAGTGTTTCACAAAAATTACAAGTCAAAAATACAAGATAACAAAAACATAAAATATAAAATCTTTAATATATAAACCTTGAAAAACAACTCAAAACTTTCTATCAGTCTTGGAAGGATAGCATAAGCATCCATTCGTTCCAGTACAGACAAACATATGACAAGTCATTTATTTTATTTAACACAGTGAACTGTAGTGTACGCCAGGTGTGTGCAAACAGAACCTCTGACCAGGGTGATAAGGAGTTGGCTGGGTTTGCATGACAAAGCACATCATGGGTCATTCAAAGACCCGCATACAAGCCTCATATAACTCTACTACGAACTGAGGGACTGCATTTTGAAACTGGTGCCTGCATGCACCCAGCATGCATAAATAGCCCACAATGAGCTGCACATCTGATAAAAACCATCCCACAGTTACAGCTGAGAGTCAAGTGCTCTTCCTCAGCCTCATTTCCTCCTTACTAAAATGTGAGTCATAATGATCTAGACTCAGAGGAGTATTTCAAAAGTAGAAGCATTGCATAAATATTTGCACAGTAGTCAACAAAGTAGAAATGGCACAAGAATAAAACAGCCTCTTGTCCAGGCATGGCTTGCAACTCGCAGATACTAAATCTTTTCTTGGGGAATCTTAACATGTGAGGAGAGCCTAAACTGCACGCAGGGATTAGGGAGGCTGCCATCCTTCCTGGCCACCTTCCAGTAAGACCTGGGACAGGCGCAGCCCATGCAGCATGAAGAGAAGAGGCAGTGTCCACTTTCGCTGGGCAACCCTTCAGGCCCCACCTTTCTTTCAGCAACAGGCACCACAGGACTTTTTCCCATTTGTGTGGCAGAAGTGATACTTCTCGACGGGGCGAGCAATGCCTGCCAAAGGCCTCTCCTGTTTGCCCATTTGATATTGGTCAACCAAAGTTATTATGCTATTTTTTCTGAAGTGAGTCTGCTTGATCCAAGACCCTCCCCCACACACACACCATTCATCATTGCGATAGGTGGTGTGTCCTTCCTTTTGTATTCCAAGTAATAAAATAGACTCCCCTAAAGCATTTCAATGCTTGCTGGCATTAAAAGCCTCTCTGAGGCTGGCAAAAAAGGGCCATGCCTCCCAACTGTTTCCTTCCAGCTCATTAAACTTCTTCCCATTAATTTCTTCAAAGGAACCTGGTGAACTGTTCCTCTCCCACAGTGATGTAAGGAAGACACAGGAGGCCTCACTTTCCACAGAGAAGCCTCTGGGCCAGGGGTTTTCTCCCCTGCCACTGCAAAGATACAAGCACTCTTGGAGTGTTTGCAAAGCTGATGCTGGAAAAAATGTGAACTGGTCTTACTCCTATGAAAGGGATTGGCCACAAGCAAGCAGACTTGATAACCAGGGCAGTGGGGAGGAACTCATCTGGAAGGGGAGGCTGAAGTCTTGCCCTTCTCTGGCATCATCTGCTTTGTGCTTAAGCAAGTTCTCCTCTCCACCCTGGGATGGGAGGGTCAAAACAGGCTGCCTTTCCTCCATAGCTCAGGGGTGATGCGTCTGTGACTTACTATCATGATGCAGTATTTAAGCTGGCTGCTGCAGGACAAAGGACCTGTTGATTTGGGTTTCCTCAAAGTGCCTGAGTGCCCACTTGAATCCTGCCTATAAGCAGACAGAAAAAAAAATTGAAAGCATTGCCAAAACGATTCTATTGGAGAGACTGATGAACTCACTACGCTAGCTAAGGAACAACATATAACTGGGCTTTTTTTTAAATTTTTTTTAGCATTCCAGCCCCACGCCCTCATCCTTGGCCCACCTACCCCTGAGATGTAGCCCTCCAGAACATCTCCAAAATAGAGATTGACCATGGATTCAAGGAGGTGCAGCCTGAAGCCCAAATCCCCTGTCACAAATCTCTTGGGGCTGCACTACAGTGCTGGGCAAAGCTCAAGGAATGGGAATAAGGCCAAAAAGACCAGCATATTTTAACTTATGAGTAATGGGTAACTAAGTGAGGCATTTCTACAGATTAGACTGGGGAAAATACACAAACCATAAACAATTGAGGGAAAGGGGCTGGAGGAGGCCTGGAGAAGAGGCATGGTCAGTTGAGGTGCCCCAGGGTGCCGGACTGGGATACCAGGAAGGCCTGATTTTGCCCTTGGGCATTAAGTTCTGTACCTGTGATGTGTGACCAGGAAAGGTAGAGCCTGTGTGTTATGGTGGTTAGTGCTCGACCAGGCACCTGGGAGATCCAGGTTCAAGTATGCACTTGGCATGAAGCTCACTGAGTGGCTTTGGACCAGTCACTGACTCTCAGCCCCACCTACTTCACAGGGTTGTAGTTGTGAGTATAAAAACTGAGTGAAAGGGACACTTGTAAGCCACTAGAGGAAAAAAGGTGGGATACGAATGCAATAGGATGACTGAAGATGATGATGATGATAGTGCAGCCTAAAGGCACTGACCTGAGCCCACGCTTCTCAGTTAAGCTTAGTGGCATTGCTTGGAGCAGGCTGATGCGCTGACTTGCGGGCAGATTCTGGAGTTCTTTCACCAGCAGGCTACGCTTGCCTAGGGAGGGAAGCACATGGATGGTTGGAGGGCAGTCCTGGAGGGTGTAAACTCATTTCCAATGACAGATATTTAGGCAACAGAAAACAGGCAAGGAGAATGTCAGAAAAGTACCTTTATTTTCCTTTCCTCCAGTATTTTTTTTTAAATCAAGGCATACAAAAATGGCAGCTTACTGCAAGAACACTGAAACTCTTCTGGTTTCATACACTACTATGTCATAGAGAGGCTGGCCAGGGAAAAGAGAGCCCCTAAGTTATCTTGAAAGACTAGGGCAGTTGTCTATCTTAGGCTGTCTGGTGATCATTTTGCCTGGAAAGGCATATTGCCCCATCTCCTCCGAGGAGAAAGTCCAATTGTTACAGTGTTGCAGGAATATTTGGAGAGAGGGACTGGGTGATAAGGACATCTGGATGGAAGGAACATATACAGAGAACGGTGATCATTATTTCCCTATTATGCTCATCTACTAGGGTAGTTGACCAGTGAATCATATTGCTGGGTGCACGCTGCTCCTAGTTTCCTGGAACCACTTCCTCCTCTGAGCCTGCTCCTTCCTAATCCTTTCAGTGGACTTACCATCTTCTTCCTCATGAGTGGAATCCAGCTCAAGATCCAGCTGCCGGATACTAGGCCGTGCAGAGCGGGATAGTTCTTGAAGTGGACCACGGCTGCCTCTACGGCGTAGTCTGGCTGTGCGATTATAATACTGGGAAAGGATGGCTCCTCTGCTGCGGCCTGCAGGTAAAAGGGGAAGCACAAAAAGGGTGGAAAAGGAGGTGAGGGTGGGACATTAAGGAGGGTTCCTGCTTGGATCTTATTTCACAGAACCATAGAATAGTAGAGTTGGAAGGGGCCAGAAGGCCATCGGGTCAACCCCCAGCCCAGTGCAGAACTCCAAGTCACCCCACTCAGATTGCTGTCAATTTGCACCTGAAAGCCTCCAGTGTGGGAGAGTCCACAACCTTTCTAGGCAACAGGTTTTATTATATTGCTCTAAGTTAACTTCCTGTTAACCTGAGCCTGCACTCTGGGATGTTTGAGAAGAAATCCTGCCCTTCCTCTTGGTGACAACCTTTCAAGTACTTGAAAAGCGCTATCATATCTCCCCTGTTTTTTCAAGGCAAAACATGCCCAGTTCTTTCCATCTCTCCTCATAAGGCTTTGTTTCCAGTCCCTGTATCATCCCTGTTGCCCTCCTCTGAACCCTTTCCAGCTTGCCTGCATCTTTCTTCAACTGTGCTGCCCTGAACGGGGCACAGGACTGCAGATGAGGCCAAACCAGTGCTGAGCAGAGGGGAACTAGTACTTCACAGGATTTGGAAGTGATATTTCTATTAAAGCAGCCTAAAATAGCATTTGCCCTTTTTGCATCCACATCACATTGTTGACTCATATTTAGCTTGTGATCTACAACAATTTCAAGATCTTCTTGCTTGCAATCTCGTTGAGCCAAGTATTCCCCATCTTGTAACTATTCAATCTTTCAATTCCCCTATTTTGTGCCCTATGCTGAAAGCACAAGTTTTTATGGAAAGCACTAGCCTGGGACCAGGGCTGCAGAGGTGTGTCTTTGAAAATTTGCTCCAACTCACCTATAGTACGACTAGGCATGCTGGCAAGGATGCGGAGTGTGGCTGTGGAGAAGTCCTTTTGATCTGGTGCCTCTTCAGCCCCAGTCTGGCGGGAAGAAGCAACATAGGCCAGATTCTCTGGGAAGGAAAAGCAGACCAACTACTGTATACCTTTGATTGGGGGCAGTTCACCTCCTGCAAACTGCAAACAGCAGATTATTCTTCATACCCACCTTTCATCTCCAGTTCTTTTACAACTACAGATCCCAGCATTCCTGACCACTGGCCATGCTGACTGGGGCTGATGGTTGCTGACATCTAAAGCAAGTTGCAGGGCATCAGGTTGGGGAAGGCTGAGCTAAAATCCTCCTATTCTCAGTACAGTGGAGCCACCTACTCACTCCCAAAAAAGGGGGTCCAAAGGCAGAGCAGAAGATCTACTCTCATCAGTGTGGCAGCAGGCAGCACTGCCACCACGGATCTCCGACAGCAGAGATGGAAAAAGGAAGCCATTCACATGAAGATCTACTGACATGTGTCCAAAATGGAGCAATGGGAGCAGGGGGAGGAAACCCTGAAAGAGGAAAAACACCGCATGGCAGAGCAGGGGAGGTGATATTAATCCATCACTGGTTCTCTTCTTCTGCCTTCATTGTATTGCTCTGTGAGTTACACCTGGTGTCTAATAGACACATTTTATAAAATAAGCAAGATCATGAAACAGCCAGAACACAAGGAAATTCTTAAAGCACACAGTTTCCAAAACTGTGTACCATAAAATATCATGTACTTCTTACATGGTACCCATCAAAGTTTCCTGAATAAGCAGAAGTGAGCACATATGATTTTCTGGTAGGGCTGCATTGTTTGCCACAAGGGCATCTTTTGAGCTACAAGTTTCAGGACCTTCCAGAGGTAGGTCTGCTTCTCATGGGGGCAATGCTAGTGTCTGAATGTTACAACAGTGCTAGCCAACTCCAACTAGACTGCCACCTCTATGGAATGGAAGGGGATCAACCTGGCATAGTGTTACCCAACCCAACCCAATATCCGAAGGAGCCATTTGCTTGTGTACCACTCATGATCAAGCGTAGTCTCTGGAGGAAAAAAGGGGTCATGGAAAGACCCTGGAAACTGATGTCCCATTCAAAATGACAAGTGTAGGCTGGAACGGGATGTTGAAATGTGCCTGGTGGTGATAGTACAATCACCATCCTATAGGTGCTCATGACACTAACACAAGGATCATCCCCACAGGAAAACAACCCTGCTCAGTCGGGCTAAGTAATGCAATTTATTATGGCAACCTGTCTAGGCAGCTTGAGTATTCACAGTGATTCCCTTGCAAAGAAACACTTGCTAGGCTGATGCCACTGAGGACACAGAGGTAGGTGCACAGCCCTGAGGAATAAGCTGCAGCATCCAATAAGACCATTAGGGGAACAGAGAATCAGATCATGGTGTTTCTGCTGATTTTGTAAACAGAACTGGATTTTACTTTTAGTAAGATTTACTGGCTTGGAGCAGCCATTGAAATGTAATGGTTAGAGTCATCCCAGGGGCAGGGGGACCGGGACTCAAATCCCCAGCTATGTAGCTCACTGGATCACCGTATCAAAGCTTAGCCTACCTCCTAGTGTTGTTGTGAAGCAGGATGTGGGATGGGGACAAAGCACCTTGAGGCTGTTAGAGAAAAGGCAGGATAAAAATGTGTGTGTGTGTGTGTGTGTGTACAAACATACGGTAAGTCTAGTGTGGAAAATAAAATTGTTCCGTTTCTACCACTTACAGGGAGGGCTGCCAGTTCAACCTCTCAAAAATATTTTGCTTAGCCATGGAACTTATTCTATCAAGTTCCAATGACCTGAAAGGCGAGCTAAGACCTTGCAGGAAGAGACATCTGCCGAGCCTGCCTTTGCAAGTGAAAACGGGCAGCCTCAGCAGGAGAATTCCCCAGGCTTTCTCCTGCTCTGCAATCATACATCTCACTCTACCACTCAGCTGCCGCACTTCTGCAGTCAGGGGACAGATGGCCAACCAGTACATCTCAGCACTGCGGCCCTAGCCTGCCTTACCTGTGCCCCCAGAAGCTAAATCCCGCATCTCCATCAGCTCCTGTTCAGCAAGCCAGCTCTGCTCCTCAATTAGCTGGTGGAAGGAATGATGCACGACATCTTCATCATAAGGACTTGGGTCCTGGCTGTGGGGAACAGAGAATTAGGATACACAATGGTCCAACTGGTGGTTCACTCAAGAGGTGATTGACTTTTTAAAAATGAAGAATAGGTGAGGTTGCCAATATTCCAACATGCTGCGAAAAGGGTCTTGTTATGCATCTGAAAACTACTATTGTAGGAGCTAAGCCTGAGCAGAAGGCAACACACTGCTCCTGAGGTTCCCGTTGCTTGTAATCAAGCAAAGTTACCTTTCTGACAGGCTCACATGTAATACAAGGCGTGGGTGTAAAACGCTGGGCAAAGGACCTTAGTTACATGCTTTAGGTGGGCAGATAGGGCCTATGTCGGCTGGAGAATGTCCACGAAGCTAGGTGATCAAAATAGACATGCCTTCTGGAGGTGTATACAGACAACAGATTCGTCTTTCCCAATCTAGTGCCCTCTACATATTTTGGACTATAACTCCCAAGATTCCAGATTATTGGCCATGCTCACTGGGGCTGATGGGAGTTGAAATCCACAAGGTTTGGAGGGCATCCAGTTAAAGAAAGCTGTGACTGAGTGATGAAAACCTCAGCAGTTTCGGCAATACAAATGCAAATACACAACAGACTCTTCAGTGGAAAAAGGTTATAAGAAGGAGTTTCACTTGAAGATACAATCAGTTAAATCTTTTGTTCCATTTATTTCTCTCATGTAGAGTCCACAGATACATACATTCTTTACCTTCCAGTTCAACGTTTTACTATACATATTGAGGAACTGTGGAATTCACTGCCATTCAGTTCAAGAATTGGCACTGGAATATCTTCATCAAATGATCAGACAAGTTAATCAAAGGACAGGGATATAAAACATTTATAGTGCATTCCTGTGTTGCCTAGCTAGTCTAGATGGCCATGGGAAAATTCAGAGTTCTGGCTCTGACTTGAAAACATGCTCTAATGTGGTTGAACCCAGGACTCTGAATTCAAAGTCCGTGCCTGCTGCCCTTGCAGCCTGCATGGAAATAATTGTCCCAGTTGCAGCTGTGAAGTTGGAAGACTGACCCCAGAGCTGGCACTGAGTGGGCATTCGGGTGGTGGGAAAAGTGGGGCTCTGTCAGGATATGACACGTTCTGGCAGCACTTCAGCCTGACCTCCTTGTGAACTGATTGCCAAAATCAGCTATCGATGTCTTGCCTCCATGCTCCTTCTGCCCTTTAAAGGATGCTTATAATCCTCCAAGTTCAAAAGGTTCTGGGAAGACACACTGGATCATGATGATCCAGGTATGATGATCATTGCTCTCCTGATCCTTGAGATTTCTGAGCGTGAAATCTACCTTCATGCTTGAGTACTCTGTTATTGCTCCGCACAGCTAATCAAGCTCTTCCTTTGACTCATTTGTGAATACATGAACTTGGAGACAAGATAGTAGACCAAATAGTCTACCAATCTGCTCCACTGTTTCTTTTTCTAGTGCAAATAAATAAAGTTTGTATCCTGTAAGTGCTACTGCCCTTGGAAGTGCCTCCTCCTATGCACAGAAAATGAACTCTAAAGAGGCAATATGCTCTCAGATTGCAACATTCCATCCCACATGTTGTATGCTTCACTCTACACTGGAATTGTGGCCTGTTATGAAGTAAAATTATGTCCCATGTTTTCCTGATTTTTGATGTCTTGATGCTCAGCTGAAAAAAAATCTTATTTTCAACAGTATAGCCTAAACCAGGTATGAACCAGAATTTTCAGCCTTTCCTTCCTATATCTAGGGAAAGCCTTTCCAGGATGTGGAGCCAGGATGTGTTGGGATACCTATGTACCAAATGTTGACTTCCTAAGTAGAGATAGCTTAACCACTCGAGGCTCTCTTTTGTTCAAAGGAGAGAGCTGTCCCATTCTAAAATTTTCCAGTCATTAGAGCATCTTAGGATAGAGTACCCTGATTTCTGGGTGGCATGGAAATATGTTGGCCATTTTCATTCCTCTCTTTTTAAGGAAAGTACCACCCATGTTCTATATTTAGATGCACAGGATGCCTTGCACTGCATGTCTACCAAATTTCCATGCTCATCTAGCCCAAGGGAAATTAACCTTAACATTTCACTACTCCTGGCAGAGTTAAGTATATTTTTACTCATTTACACATTTAAAATACTGTTACACTCACCTGACAGCCTCTTGGTTCTCAGGACCATAAAAGGTGAAGGTCACTGTGTGTGACATCTTGAACTCAGATCCACAAGTTCTTGCCTACTGGTTTGCTTGTCTCTTCATTTCTCTATTCACATGCTTTTCTACATGCAGTGTAAAGAGTCAGCTCATAACCAGAGGAAGCGGATTTCACTGAGGCTGATCGGACTCAGCATCATCCTACGCAGTTATCAAAGATCTGGCGGTGAAAATGCCTGATCTAACCTCTAGTCAGCTCCCACAGCCAGTAAAGCGGGGTTGAGGAACCAGCCGCAACCTTTAAGCCTGTATAGCGTAACAACACAAGAACAAAAAGAGCACAAGATAAGAAATTCAAAATTCCTAGGGCGTACACCAAAAGACAAAAAGCCTATTGCAATAGCAGCCTGTGAGCAAAATGTTGTGAACGGGAAGGAAACCAAAGAAAAACAAAAGCTACTACGCAAGACAAGACGGTGCAGCGACCTTGCTTAGCTTTTCAGAACTCAGATAATGCAAACACAGCAGTTGGTGCCAAGACTTTGCACTCACCCCGTTTGGAGGGAAAGTGCTGAGGGGAGGAAAGGGGGCCCACCTGTATTTCCTCTCAGTTCCTTCCCCTCAGAGCAGCGCGCATGAATGACCATTTACCTGCAGATGTTTCTCATGATTTCACCCACATGGTGACAGACTGAGAGCCAGCAAAGTTTCTTTCAACTGTCTCAGCCTCCGCGTAATAGTCCCGGCTGCCTGCACGAGTTACCAGGGAGATAAGAGATTTGCAGCGCTGCTTCTGAGGATGAGGGAAGCCGAGCCCCTGCATTCTCGAGGGCGGGGTTGCGCTCCCTACCCTCCGCCACTCTGGGACATGGTTCCCTCATGAACAGCCTCACACGCTTTGGTGCACTGAGTAAGCAGACAAGGCAGCTGGGCTTCCTGGTTGACAGGAAGCTTGCCCCCAACGTAATCTCTCCTGGCTGCAGGTTCCTGGTGCTATTGTCAGGATGTGAGAAATGTTGTTTTACACAACAACAATAAAAAAAACCTTAAGCACAGCAGCCTGGATGACAGAATTAGTATTTATCATTATCTTATTTAAAATATTTGTACACACTTTTTTTTTTTTTTACTTCAAAGGGCATTTCATTTCAGAGCTTTGCAAAGGGGGCACCCATTTCACATGCCCACATCGTACAACAGAACAAAGAAGACTATATATGGCATGCTTGTTCTTTATATATTCCTACCCTTGTTGTTTAAGTACAATCAGAAGATTGTATGGGTCCAGTATTCTGAAATCGCTCGCACAAGGCACCTGCAAAAGTGCCACTTAAACTGGAAGAGGATGGTTCTGCTTCACAAGAGTCAACATCGGCACCTTCTTGGATGTCCCATGTAAAAGCAGAATGATGGGATGGTTAGTTCTTTACAGACCTCAAGGTTCCAGCAAATGTGGCGTTAAAAGGGAGGGAGGGAGGCAAACCTGTTTATTGATGAAAACACATCTTTATAAGTTGGACCAACAACAAAATGTTGCAAGGTATTTTCTCTTGCTCGAGGGAGGAATATTCCTGTTCAGGGATCCAGGCAACCAGCCATGATACCACTTCTCTGTTTTACTTCTGTTTGTTGGGAGGGGGTGATCCTCTCTGGGTTTCAAGGGAACCCCCCCCCCCCAATAAACCTCAGGGTTTGCATGAGCATATTGATACTCTTCTTTGTCATGGTGTCCATTTTGACTTCAATTCTGTAGCGTTCACAACCTGACTTCATTATTAAACTTAAGTGATGGCAGAATAATACCACTAGTTGCCTGATGTATTTTGAAATATGCTGGGCGGACTAATGCTACTTAATGGTTTTGTTCTTTTAAATTATTGTGTGTGCGCACAATACACGCACACACACCTTTTAAACTTTTGCTTAATTTTAACTTTTGTTAGCTGCCCAGAGAGCCTTGGCTATAGGGCGATATAAAAATGATTTCACCAAACAAATAAAGTAACCCAGTTGCCTAATGCATTTTGAGCAAATGCTCTTTTTTGAAGCCAACAGTGTTCGTTGTTTCTAAAGGTTGAAGTTATTCTATTCTGAAGTACTCCAGAATGGGCAGAAGCTCCTATTAGCATTAGGTGCTCCCAACAACTCAGGCTCACTAAGGGCTCAATGCAATCTGAACTTTGAGAAGCAGCAAATATTGCTGTCCTTGAAGAGCAGAGCATGCAAAAATGCATCAGGTAATAGGATTAAATGGAATTACTGTGTAATAGATACATATTATGTTTCAGCACCCTAGAGATAAGTTCCTGGCACATCCCCAATCTTTCCACTTTCTCTCACCCTCCTACAGGAGTACATATATTTGTCCCCTTCTCTCCAAAGAGGATACTTCCATTTTCACACAGTAAATATGAGTGAAAGGGACCATTACAGGAAGATTAGTTTATAATCATATCTGCAGATTCTTCTTCAAATCTCAAAGGACCAACCCTGGGAATGTAACACTATCATGGGAATGTTTGGTTAAGTCATCTCATGTTGGGCTATTATGGAACTAATTCTATATTATTATAGACTCGTTCTCTCTCTTTGGTGTTTAATACTCTGTTTGGCTTTTCTTTGTGGCTGATACCGTTCTCTCTCGTTTTTGTTCCTGCCTACCATATCCTAGAGCTATCTCATTCTCTCTCCCTGAGACTAAGCATTTGCAAGACTTTCATGTTTCCTCACAGCAGCAGTTCCTTGAAAAATTTGGACTTTCTTTGGCAACTTTGAGAGTTTATCAACACATTCCCCTTTTGGTCCAAGCATAGACTGCACATAAGTATGAATGGAAGCAGCTTTGAAGCAACTAAGGGCACTATCTTATGCATGTTTAGGCACAAGCAGTCCTATGATTGCTGACATTCGCTAGCCAACTGGGGCATGCTGGGAGTTGTAGGACTTGTTCCTACCTAAAAATGCATAGGACTGCAGACTATCATTTCGTCCCTTGTTAAAGTAGCCCTGAAACTTACATCTTTTGGAAGGTCAACTACAGAGGTATAGTGGCAAGTTTAGAAGTGTGTGTGTGTGTGTGTGGGGGGGGGTCTCTTCATGATAGTCAGAGCTGCACCTCAAAGCCATGCCCCCATCAAAGCCACACATCCCCAAACCACAGCTATTTCCAAGATTATGCAATCTTGGCTTGCACAACAACAATTAGCTTTCTTAGTTTGTTTGAACTTCTGCTCAGTAGTGAATGCAAGATGAGGGCATTTCTTTTTGAAGTGAAATAATGACAGCTTCTAGAAGTGATTTCTTTTATCTTATTTATTATAAATTAATTATTTTTGCATTACACTCATACCCTGCTCTTCAGCCCAAAAGTTCCCAGAGTGGCTCATGTAGAATTAATAAGGCAATTCCTGCCCACATGACATACAAGGGGAAAGAGATAGGAAGGGAAAACAGGAAACTGAGGCACTAATTACTCACAGTTGTAGAAACATGTGTAGTTATATTTTCCCAAGAGCAGCAATCTGGATTGACAATCACTGTTTGGGTTCTTTTAATTTTCTGTGGCCTCTGCAACCACTGACTTTGTGTGTTCATAGGTGTGGGAGATCCTCCATGAGTCCAGAGTCCATAGTGTAAGGGTTCCAGTTTCTCAAAATATGCAATAATATTTTGCACTCTCACTGGATTCACACTGAATTATATGTAAAGGAGCCTAACTGAAGTAAGAGGAACTTGGCTATTAGAAGTCATAGACCTACAATTCTCCAAATGGTTTATCAGTCAGTCCCTCTTCCCCAGAAACTTTGGAAACTGCATCTCTCTGTGTGAGGAATAGGTGACCATTAATGATGCTTACAGTCCCTAAGATTCTTTGGGGGAGTAATAACTGTCTAAAGTGGGATAAAAGTGTTCTAAATGTGTGGCATGAATGCAGAGGGCATGTGAGGCAGTTTTTGGAGCAGCAAAGACAAGCTGACCACATGTTGCTAAGGATCAGAGACTGACCATGAGGGAAAGTGTCACAGAAAACACATGTGCATGCCTGGCAGTCCTCTCCAGATACATAGTTCCCAGGCACTGTTGGGAACTGTTGAAAAAAACACTCCTGTTCTTAACCCGTTACATTCAGGTCTCTGACACAGCGGCAGCTGTCAGCCATGAACCAGCAACATTAAGTCTCTTGAGAGGCAGTGAAGGAGAGACAGTGACCCTGGCTTCAGGGATCCAGCAACCCCCCCGAGGGTCCTCTCCAAAAGAAGTGGGGATCCTCCAACCCCCCTAGGGCCCCCTCTACTACACCCTTGGTCCAGTAGCTGCACTTTATTAAATCTGCAGAAAGAAAGAATGCTGGCTAATCTGAAACCTATTGCACATATATTGCAAGGATAGCAGGAGACAAGTTTATCAAGATTAGGGGTGCCAAACCGTTTTCAGCTAGAGGTTTGATGACAAGGTCAGGGAAACTTTCAGAGGCTGCATTCCAACTGTAGGCAGAGCCCAAGGCAAAGGTAGTACCAGCATATTTTAGCTTAAAGTTTATCACGCCAGATAACTAAACCTTAGGAGAGCCACTTCAACCATTCCGAATGTAAGGAGTGTGGAAAGGGCAAAAGCCACAAAGCCATTATGTGACTGACAGCTAGCAAGGCGGCGAGTGGGAATCAACTGGCGACACGGGGAATGGGAGCATAGCCTTGTGGGAACCCTCTTACTGAACTCTAGCAGTACTGGCTTATTTTCCTAGATGCCCTGAAGCAGGAATCTTAAGTAACTTGCGTACTAGCAGCGGATGGTGGTTCTCTCCATGCCTGATGGGAGGTCAAATTTATAGCCCAGTAGGCCAGCAATACCTCTTGAAGTGGACTGGCACTGGAGAGAACATGTGCACACCCTGGGCAAATGCCAAGTTTCACACTCTCTTGCTTCTCACTAGAATGCTGGGGCCCAGCTGCTACCAAATGGCGTGCACAAAAGCCTTTTGTTTTTTCAGTCTCTCTGCCTCCCGCACGGATTAGGCAGCTTCATTCTCAGACCAACAAAATGTGAAGCCTTGCTGCAGGCCAAGTCAAAGGAAGGTGCCATGCCTATTTCCTTTCCTTTTCAGGGCTTCCACTTCTCTTACTTGCATGCATGTGCAGGCACATGCTCACACGTGCGTGCGCACACACACATACACTATTGTCAGGAGACTATAACCTGTGGCTTGAAGTAGGCTTTTATTTAACATATGTCAAACTGGGAAGTTCAAATTAAGGCACATGTCACTGAACTTTTCATGTGTAAATGGTCCAGAGTGTTGTTCTTTTCTGATTCTAAAAGAAATATCAAATCACAGAGACGCATGAGACAAAAACCAGAATGAAGTAGAGGTCGTGGCTTTGCTTGACACAAATCTCATTGGCAGTTCCATACCCCTTGTTGTTAAACCAACAGGGGAGAAATACAGTATTTAAACCTGCCATGGCCAGTGCTAAGCATCAATGAGCTAATCACAGGACAGGCAACCTTTCCTCCCTGCTAGAAATTCATGGCATTTTGCTCATATGGGCAAGTTTGGGCAGATAGTTGGTTAGGCTGGACTGATTCATGCATGCTTTCAGGAACAGAAACAGTTCTGTGTAGGACCAGGCATGAAGCCCACAAATAGCTAATTGTGCATGATACGTCTATTTCATTGTGTATGTATTATATGGTGAAACAAATGTGTACAACAACACACTGTTCTCTGCATTCTTCTATAGTGAAAGGCTGTGTTCATAACATCTGCGGAGGCCTCATACAAATGCAGAACTGCTGAAACCATCTTTGCCTATCATAATGAAATTTATCGCTTAGCCACAGTAGAGAGGATATGCAGGAAAAGGGATCATTTTAGATCATTGTACTTCTAGTCACCAGCCAGTGTTACTTTGTTTTTATGTGCAAGAGCATTTTCAATATTTGTGTCTGATTATATTGGTATTATTGTGTGCTGGTTTTATCCATTGCTTTATTGTCTGTATTTTCTGTTAGTAAGGTGTTTATTTATTTAATTCTATTTCTATGCTGCCCCATAACCCAAAGGTTCTCTGGGTGTTGTAGGGTATAGGGCACTGTTAAAGTGCAATAAATAGACACAAATAAATGGGTCTGGCCTGTATCATCATGCAGAAACTCCAAAAGATGCTGAAAGCAATCCCAGGAGAGGCACTCAGTAAGATCTGTCCACATGATTTTAGAGAACTGGAAGCACTGTTCTGGTGTGTTTCACTAATGCATTCCAGACCTGTTGGAGATTTTGGTTTGGGCCAATCACTTGCCAGTTAATATGGCCAGTGTGGTGCACATTGCTGGCTTCCTGTAACAAGAGAAGTGGTAATCCCACAGGAATGGATCCCTGCCTCTTCTAAATACATTTTTCCTCTGTCAGTTCATCATTACAGCACCAAACAGAAGTATAGAAAGAAAGCCAGTAGGGCATGCCCTTAATGTACGGATGTGCAATTTGTGATCCTCTGGATATGTTAGGCTAGAACTCCCATCAGGCCCAGTCAGCAAAGCCAATGATGAGGGATCATGGGAGCTGTAGGCTGAAACAGCTGAAGGGCCACAAGTTACCCACCTCTGCTTTAGTGCATTTGGTAGTCCCCATCCCCAAATAAGAGACTACAGGCAACTTACCAGTACAAGGCTGCCCAAAGACCCTCTTAACTCTTTGAGATCTCTTCTGTATCCAGGTCTAGTTGCCATCTACACCCAGCACTTCCTAATTCTTTTTTGCAGAAGGCAGAGAGAGGCAGGCTTCTTGATTTACCTCTGCGTTCCCCCTTGCCCTCCCTTTAAAGCAGCTTCTGAAACAATGGAAATGCTGCATGCCCAAGGCTTTCTGCTCCTCCTGTGCCAGGCAGTACTGGCTGCAGTCTCATCTTCCACCCTTCCCCCTTCTGTGTGCACTCCCTCTGCAGCTGCCTCCTTAAAATTAGCTGGTCTGATACACTGGGACATCCCAAAAAGATTCAGAAAGCATCCCTCTACCACAATCCACTTATTTCTGCTTTCTTACATTTGAAATAAAGACTTCAGCCTATTTATCTGAAGCACGTTTACTGAAATCATTGATACTTATTCTAAAATAAATTTGCCCAGGACTCTAGCATTACTTTTGATTATTTGGAATGACTCCAGGAGAGGGGGGAGGTAAAAATGCTGTTTGGCGAGCCCTAGTAATCAGAAACGTTCGGCATACAAGATGTCACATAATTGGCTTTAAAATCATGACGTAACAGAAATAAAGGGCTTTCTTGTAAAGAAATAAAGATTTCTTGTATCTCATATTTCCATATAACCAGTGCAGCTCAATTCTTATATTTTTCATCATAATAGTCATATGAACTATATTTAGCAAGCAGGAACCATCACCTCTTTGTTGGGCTTTTTATTCCAAGTAAATAATGCAATAGTTGGGTTGCACTAACAAAGATTTATTGTACAGGAGTGCTACAGTATTTCATAGGAAAAACTGCACACTAAAATATTAATATTTTTAAAGATTTTTTTAAAATAGTTTTACTCTTTGTCTGTGGTTTGTGTTTGCTGAAGTTTTTGTAAACCACCTTGATTCCCCACCCCCGAAAGTTAGTATAGACATTCTTTTAATGAATACATAAGGAAGGGTGCAGTCCTAGGCATCTCCCAGCCGGCAAGCAAGATAGGATTACGCCCCGAAATAAAAATGCTGCCCTCGAGGCAATCTCTTTTTGCCTTTCTCTACTTTGCTTTGATTCCCTATTGAAAGCCTCTGTTGGGTAAGCAAGTAAGCTAAACTTAAACTTAGGAATAACAAAGCTGTATCGGTTTCAAACTGCTTGGGATCCTCGAGCTTTTACGACCCTGTGCTGCCCAAGTAGCAGCTGCTGCTTCTCTCCTGTTGCGGCGAGGAGAGAAGCAGCGAGGGAGCAGACTGGGCAAAGACACTTGTTCGCCGTCTCTCCAGCTGCACCGTCCATTGGCGGCGGATTGATTTCCATCCATCTCCTTGCGCCGTCAAGGGCCACTGTGCAATTCGGCAATTCTTGGTTAAGGAAGAATCCGGATTTCCACAGACAACCGCGTGGGTTGAGAAGGAGAGCGCAGCAGGCCATGACCCTAATCTCAGTGGGACGCTTTTCCCGCCCGGTTCCAAAGGGTCACGTTGGCTTCCTGCGTTGGGCACCGGGCATACGGGAAGCAGTGCAGGGATGATTTGATGGCAACTCCGGTGAGTCCCCAGTTTCTATCCAATGCCCACCTTGTCCCCAACAGCTGCAGAGTAGCGAAGACAAACAATGGGAAGAGCGTAAGTGAACTCTTCAAGGATTACACAAGAAGGGGATATGGAGCAGTTGCACAATCCCACAAGTCACAAATGCCTTTCTCCAGCTACGTCAAGCCTCTTACTAACCTTGTGGGCTCTTCCTGCGAGTTTCATCGGCAGAGTATCTGTCCGAGATCTGAAATACTTCCCCATTCGGTAAGGTCTCACTCGTCCCCAACCGGGAGACCACACCCTATGCCTCACCTGGGCCACAAAGGACACTGGGAGCTGTAGTCCTTTTTCTGAGGCACCTACCTAAAGAAGAGTTCTTCTAGGTTTGCCGTAGATTTTATTAGAAAGGGAAAATGCTGCTTGCAAACGCCCCACCATTTCATTTGTTGAAATAAACTGCCCCCATAACAAATATAAACCTTATTTTCTGAGGCTGAGGAAGAACTATTCCCAAGCAGGTTTTCCCAATTAGTTTTCTATCAGATGGTTTGGCCTGCAACTCCTCTTGACCCCAGCCAGCATGGCCAGTGGTCAGGGAAGATGCAACCTGTAGGCCAAACATCAGAAGGGATCTAGGCGGTGCATGCATGTCTTCTATTTTTCAGTATGGAAAATTGGACATAGATTCAAAATGGTTGATCTGCCTTCATACTGGTGTTTGCTTCTTGTTAGAGGAACAGGTGAACTATTAGACCAGTCAGATTCATCACAGATCTCAGGAAGAAGAACTTGTATGGTAGGCAGTATACAAATAATTCCTTACCCTTCATCCTCCTCATTCTGCCTGCAAGGAAACTTTTTGCATAGTTGCCTTTTAGTAATAACTTTCACCTTTATAGGATGGCCATAACTATCTCCCTGCCTAACCTACAAGGTATATCTATATTACAACAAGTGCATCAGTTACATTAGGCCAGTTTTATGAGCATGTATTTAGCTAAGGAATCCTAGCAACAATAGTTTGATAAGAATGCAGAGAACACTAGCCTTAATTTCTCACACAGGATGACCATTCCCAAGGTTTCTTAGCATGAAGAAATGTTGCAATCTTGTTGTAAACAAATTAGGGAAGAAGTTTCTGAAATGGAACCTGGAGTTAGCATTCTTAACATCACACTGCATATCTAGAGCGTAGTTATGCTCTGTAGAGACAACATTCAAGATCTCTTCGCTGCCAGCATACTTGGCTGATTTGTCTCTTAACTCTTCCTCTATCTAATATGCTGGCACCTGGGAACACTTTGAAAAGTGGGGTGAGGAAAGGAATTATACCTGAAATGATATTTTAATAATGACTTTTTATGCTCAAGCTAAGCAAACACAAAACATTCTGGTTTTCTGCCATCTCCTTTTTAGAATATAATTGGGTATTAAAAGCATCAGGAGCCCAGATTTTTAGAATGTATGCAAAGCAACTGCTAAAGCTGAACAATATACATTATGGTGGAACATCTTTGCATTTCACATGCAGTCAAAGCCATGGACATAGGTGAAATGGAGCAGCGAAGAAGCCTAAGTCAAAGAAGTATAGGCTGCCATAGGCAGGCCTGCATAAAACATCCCTCCCACAGTGAACACTCTTCAGCAGGATGTAAACTGGGTTGAAAAGAAGAAATACGCTTCCTTGCAACACACCTCCCACATACCCGAACATGGTGAAAGACAGGAAACCGCCTGCTTCTGTCACATGAACTGACAGATAGACAGACATTCGGGCAAAGGAAAACACAGCAGGAATGGGAGGGGTAAATATCTTGCCCTCCAGTTTGTTTCTCTCCTTCCTGAGAGAGATCTATTGCCAGAATATCACTTAAGGCTGACTTGCTGCTTGGTGCTGTAGTGATATGTGCTTAAGGAGCTAAAAGAATGAGAGGTGAGTTGGTTGTCTTTCAGAGTATGAGTTGAGCATAGCCCCTGTGTCAGCAGCAACAGCCCTTCTCAGAGAGACTGGGGTAAACGGGTTGTTTCTTCCTTGTGTACCAAGCTGACTGATACATGAGTGTGAAAATCCTGTGATGGGAGATGCTTCCAGGTGAGGCTATTATGGCCCTCTTGCCCTGCTGCTTTCATGGAATTTTACAGGGGTCCAAAAAAGTCCTCTTCGGTGTATAAAACTTCCATATTTTCTGACCACTTCTTCCATCTGTTTTTTCTTTCCACAAAGAGACAGACTCTGACAGAGGAAATATGGACAAGGTCTCTTGATTGGTAGAACTAGGGACTCTCTGTTTAGAAATAACCCAAGAGTCATCTTGGGAACATAGAAAATGAAAGCAACAACATTGCATTTTTGTTTTCCAAGATGGTTCTGTAAAGGGCTGAGCTGAGATGCAATGGGCACTGAGGCTGTCTGTACAAACAAGAATAGGGACAGAATTACTCCCAGTGGCTGCAGATTAGTGCCCCATGATGTGTGTTTTTATTGGCCATTCCAGGAAAGGTCTTGAATGCATTGTCATTTTAACATGGCATGCCTCTTCATGCAAAAGTATGTTCCACATTTCCTTTAAAATTGGCTCAGATACATTAGGAGCCTGTTCAGGGTTTTTTGCATGCTTTATGCTGAATATGCAACTTTTAAATTTCTCTGGGAGATGTAAAATTATAACTTACTCTGTTGTTTTTCTACTTCCCAGCTAAACATGATAGAGACTAATTTAAAGTTTAAGTTGCAGTGGCACTTCCAGACAAAGCTTTTATTATGCTATCACTCTACCTCATTTGCAGAATTAATGGGGGTCCACACATCATCTATGACTGGTAATAATCTTGTGTTTTCCCAGCACTTCTTCCATCTTTTCTCTTATCTCAGAAAATTTGTGAAGGAAAAATACAGGATAGCTTCACAATGCCTTCTAGTAGCTCCAGGAACCATTTTACTGGAAGTACTCTCAAAGGTAGTCATGTGACATTAGTAGTATAGCAGTCTTTGTGATCTGCAGCAAACCTCTAAAGTCGAGGGAGGGATCTTACAGAAGATTTTTACGCCAAGGGTATATATTTGTTTAGTCTGTTTCCGTTTCCCAGTAGCCTTTTCCTTGTTGTCATTTCAGGAACTGAATTAACACATAGCACCCAGGATCTATGGCGCAGAACTACCCAGCAAGATGCTCAGTCGGTGCACTCAGTCTCCAGTACAGACCTCTCCCTGGAGGGGCTGGATATCCAGGAATCAATGCTCAGGGCCTTGGCCTGTTCCATGAAGAAGAAGCGCTTTCTTAGGTCAGGAGTAAGACTGTAAGGGCCCCAGCATTGGCATTGTACAGTTGAACTGTTACGTCGTGAGCTACTGAAGCCCACGGGACTGGGTTAAAACCACAGTCCAGTGAGATTTTCTTAAATTATTACATTTGAGTTTATATACAAACATATAACAAGCACACAATTGCAACATCAGTCCATTTCAAGTGCCTGGTTGTCTCTCTTACCCGGTATGACATTTCATGTAATAGGGAAGAGCACTCAAAGAGTTCCTCATTTCTTCCACAGTATAATCAATGGAAAAGGTTGCTTTTGTCCCTGCTGTACAAAGGCAATTGTAACCTGCCTAGGATGAGGTTATTTGTATATCAATTTGATTTATTTTCCTGATTTCCAGCAAAGCATGATGCCCACAGCAGCTCACAATAATAAAACCAAGATTTTTAGATATATATTATAGATAATTAATTAGCAACTTTAAAGTAAATTGTGAAAAAGGATAAATTAAAAGCCCAGTTTAAAACACATCAATAAAAGAAATAAATAGCACTTAACTCCATATCACTTCCTTCAGCAGTAGAACAGCTTTCATGCCAAAAGCATGCCTGGATAAAAACATCTTTGTCTGTTGGTGCAAGGAGAACAGAGAGGGCAGCAGCCTAGCCTCCCTCAGCAGGGAGCTCCAGAGCCTGGGAACAGCTACAGGAAGGGCCTCTCTTGCGTCCCTGCCAAACATGGCTCTGATGGAGGCAAGAGCCAGGGCAGGGCAGGGCAGGGCAAGCAGCATTGTTGATCTTCTGGAGCTGTGGTACTTGTAAGTCCACCTGGAGCAGATTGCTACAGCACAGCGGCATCACAGAAAGACAGTAAGAGGGAGGAATATGAGTGGGGGAGAAGGGGAATATGATGACTGGGACAATGCCGTAGAGACGTATGTCCCTATTTAGAGTATGTATATGGAGGTCCCCAACAGGCAAATGGAATGGAGTGTGTGTCTCTCCCAACTCAGCAGGCTCCCCATCTCCCAAAGCGGAGCACTCAATCTGATCTCCTTTCAGCAGGCAGCTGAAGGCATCTACCGGGAGAGGTGTGTCCAGCTGGGTGTCCTGGAGGCAGCAGAAATACAAGGCCTGGAGGGAGCTTCAGGAAAACATCTGGAACTGTGCCAGGATCTTCTGGCTCTGGAAACCTTCTTTGGATGAGATTGGCGGTAAGGAGGAGCTGCTTTTCAGCTTTATAAGTCGATCTACTCAAGGAATGGCTCTGGCAGATCAACTGGGTGTAGTCAACCATTTGGACAGGGCTAAGTCTAAAGCAGCCAGCCTCAAAAGGGTTTCCCTCTGAATGTTCTGGCACCCATCAGGCTCCCTGCCTGATTTTGATGTTATTTTTAAGGACATGTTGATTTTTAAAAGTGCCTGTTTCTCCTTTTTGCTCTGGGAATCTAATGCACTGCAAAATAATGTTGGCTTCCAGCAACTTATCTATTTATAAGATTGCTTCCAAGCCCCACTTGAGCCCCAGAGGCATTATTTAAAAATATACATGTTTGATGACAATTTTCCAGCCTGCACAACCCAGGAAAAACAATAACAATAAAACATAAGCTGTGGGTGGAGGTAATTTCATGGGGGGCTGAAAGAGGCTGAGGAGAGGAAAAGGCTCCTTTGCTTGTTCTGTGTGTGATCTGAGTTTTGTGGTATTTTTTTTCTTTGCTGTGGATATGTTTTATGGTTTCCATTTCTCAGCATCACCTGTCTGCTTCGGTGAAATGGTTAATTTGTTGGGTTTGTGGAGGCAAACATATAAAGAAGTTTTTAAAACTCAAACCAACACTCTTCCTTGTACACATTTTCCTCATGAAGTTGGTTGTCTCTGAGTCATATAAGTTTGCCTTCAGTGAAATGGGTGTTAGGGCAAACAAATTGTGGGTTCAGAAGAACGGCTTTGTGTTTTTGAGCTCATAGCCCCTCTCTGCTGTTGATGTAGCTTGTTGGCCAAGTTACTTTTTGCCTACTGGGAAATGGGTGTTCCAAGGGTGTTACCTGCCATATAAGCCATTTTGTGAAGGGGCAAGACCCCCACCATGGCAAGAATTTTTTGAGAGCTGCAGCTTTCAAAATTCTAAATGTTCCCATGGAACCCAAAGGTTGGGAAACTCTGGAGACTTGGAAGGTGCTTTGGAAGTAAGATCAGCTGCTGCATTTGCAGTCAAAAGTAAGTTCTGCCTGTATCACAAAAGCAGAGGCCGGTGATCATACAGCACATGCATCAACTGGACCAATGCCCTAAAACTTTTTATATTGTATTTCCACTGTGCTGTTTAAAACTTCCCAGAGAGCTTCAGCTATGGGACAGTATAAAATTAATAAATATTAATAATGCCTGGGGATGGATTGAAAAAGAGAAATCCAGCTCATTTCACCTTGATGGATATCCTGCCCACTTCTTCAGTCTGATGACAAGAAGTGGGCTGAATTGATTGTTTTTCATAGATTCCCATTTTCTAAGATGGGCCTCGATTTATGCATCTTTCATCCACAATTTGAATTAGTTCAAATAAGCGCCCCCAAACCATGTGGCAGCAGCATGATTTCTGCAAAATCAGAAATTCTGTATAAATTGGGTTAGAGCCACATAGTTTTGGGGTGCTAAATGTTGTTAGCATTTTTTAATATGTGCAAAACATGTTCTGTCTTAGAGATGGAAGTCCACATGCTACAGCAAGTTGAGCCAGTGCAGGGCTAATGAACTGGAATCTTTGAGGGGCTAAATCATGAAAATCCGCTGGACTTTTACTCCCTTATTCGTTACTCTCACATCTGTATTAGCTGAATTGGTGTGAGGCAAGGGAGACCTCTAGGGGCTGGTTGGTGACACGGTTGGTTGAGAACAGAGAAAGGAAATAAGGCCATGGGATTATGGATTCCTTTGTATATCACAGAGAAGCGTTAGTATGTGACATGACTGCCGCCTTTCCCAGAAGAAACTAATCAATCTGGTTCCTCCTTATTTTAAAATGTATGAAAATGTGTACTTGTCCAATGACTGGCACTGAAGCTGAGCTAAATAAAATAGCTAGAAGGCAGAATCCCCAATGAGTTCAGAATAAAATAAACCAGATGACATGCCTCTGGGCAAGGGAGGGTAGGAAACTAGGGCAGGACTTATCCTTTTGGTCACTTTTGTGATTCCCATCCTCACTGAGGCCACTTTGCTTTTCTGGCTGAATTGCCCACGTTTGCTGTCCTTTACAACATACAGGGAACTTTGGTCCTGGCATCCAGTCCTATTTCACCTTCTTGAGGTTTCTGCTCTTCATCAACTTCCTGGCTGTGCTATTGGCCACAGGCTTCATAGTGTTGCCAGTTCTCATTGCTCATGATGCAAGTACCTTTCCTAAAAGTCTGCGTGCAGGTAAGTCCTTGCTTATAGCTGCAAGAGCTTAAAAATTAGTGCTTTCTCCAGAATTCCAGCCAGTTTAAATTTTACAGTTATGAAATTTAATTGGAGTAATTTATTGCAGGATCTGACCCTATAAATCCACTCTGTCCCTTCCTCTAGAGGCTGTGTGCAGGAACTACAACCACAGCCGTAGTTCCAGATCTGCCTGGCAACATTTCCAGGATGTCTTCACTGGGGAAGTGAGTGAGTCCACAGGAAAGTCGATCTGAAGAGCAGTGTGCCGGGGTGGGGAGGGGAAGTTGATAGGGAGATAAAGGGAAATGTGGTTAAAGTAGTGTGTTGAACCTCAGGCTGGTGGGCAAATTCAGCCCTCTTGGGGTACAGCCTGCCCCCCTGGAGTTGGTACTTTTGGCCTCATCCCTTTGCCCTTGGCTTCACCTCGTAATAGAACACCTGCTAGTAGACCTCTGAGAGCTTTTTTGAAACTGAATTCATCCCAAACAACAGTTGACACCTCTGGGGTAGAGATTGAGACTGGAGCAGAATGTACCTGGAGTGTCAAAAATAGAGCAGTGGAGAAGAGGAATGTAGTTTTGACTTCAGCAGAGTGGATGTTATTGGATTCAAGGTGTGTTGGTGGCAGGGGCAAGTACTGATTGGACCATTGGGTTCTCTGCACTCAAGGGTTCTGACTGGGAAAGCCCTCAGAGCAGGGGTGTGAAATCATTTCTGGTTCAGGTGCCACATACACACCAGCCAAGCATGGCAGCTTAGCAAAAGTGACCATAGATAGTGTCAGTCTGAAAGCATAAGGTGAGGGAGCTTCTAATTTCTTCTTCTGTCCCATCTTTAGGGCTTTTTGGAGCATTCCTACCTGTTTTATGGCGGTTACAACATGAAATGGGATAACAACAGCCTCTACAATGTGCACTTGGCCTACCTGCTTAGTATCCTGGGATACTTCCTTGCCTGCTTCATTTGGATCTTCCGGCAGTAAGTGCCCTGGGTGTGGAGCAACCTCCCGGTTTATTACGCACAAAAATGTGGGATTGGGAAAGGGCAGGAAATATGTAAGGGTTCAGGAAGGGGAGGGGTTAATATATGAAATGCCCTACGATCTACTTGAAATGATGACTTCTGCCTAAAAGGAAGTCTTAAAAGGTAATCCGTAAATATCATATGCTGGTATATTCCAGTTCCCTTTGAAGATGACCCCTTTTGTGTTGGGAGCACACTCCAATGCTCTGTAATTCTTACAGTTAGAAATTTTTATCTTAATGTAGATGAGCAAGTTCTCCTTTTGCCATGCCATACCTTTCTACAATATAGCTAATGTTGCAAAAAATATCCTGGAATCCTGCTATAATAGACTGATTAAGCCTCTTTGAGACTCAACACCCTAAACACTCTCCCTGTTGTATTTTCCTAGTACTTATGGGAAAATTTCCTGCTCATGCATTCTGAAAACTTTCCAGTTAATTCTTGGTCACTTTCAACAAAATACTGTAAAACTGATCATCCTTTTTCTGATGGATGTGCCTTTTTTCCCCAGTGGACCAAGTTAATATTCCTAAACTTCTGTGATGGTTCCACCTTCACCGCTGCCTCCCCCAGAGGAATATGTTTATGTTGTATCAGATTGTTTTTGTTCTGGAAGCTGGTGTTACTTCTTTTTATTTGAACCCCTTGGGCTGAACCGCACATGCAGCCTTCTTATCCTTTCTTCTGAGTTCTGTATTGCTTGGTGGAAAGGAATGAAGTTGCTCAGAGGAAACTCTTGCTTGCTGGTGACTATCTGCCGTACTGCCCAAATATTCAGGATCACAGCCAGCTTTGTGCAATGGAAGATGCAACGATGGGACTTCAAGCAAAATGCCAGTGCCAAGATCTTCACTGAATGGGATTTCTGCATCCAAAGCCCTGAGGCAGCTGCCCTTAAGCAGAAGAATATTTACAATGGCCTCAAGGTGCATGAAATTTCTCTGTGGAATGTATTAATGAATTGGTCCTGACCTCAAAGAGTTCCATCCATTTATCCAGGTCATCTTCTCAAGTATGTATTTGCACACATTTATATCAAATATTAAATGGCACTAAATCTGTGAATGGATTGGAAACTGTTGTTTTTGGATGAAACAGTCTGCACAAAAAATCCTTCTTTCATAAGCCAAGCTAGACCACTTTTCTATAGGCCATTTTTGAAGTTGCTCCTTTGCTGTTGACCTCCTTTGGAAATAAGTGTAGTTGGACGTCATCGAAATGAAAACATAAAAAAGTGCCCTGCTGGGTGGGATGATCAGTATGTCTAGTCCGATGCCTGTTTCTCACAGTAGCCAGCCAGTGGCCTCAGTGGGAAGCCCATCACAAGTGGGTCGTGAAGGCCGCTGTCCTCTCCCACTGTTGTTCTCCATCAGTTCTTCTACTAATTCCCCACGTGGCTTTTGATTCTGAAGGCAGCATACAGCCATCATAGCTTGTAGTAGCCACTGACAGTCTTGTCGACCATGAATTTGCAAAATCCCTTTTAAAGCCCTCTAAGCTGATGGTCATCACTACATCTTGTCGTAAATTCCGTAGCTTAACTATTTGCTGTGTGAAGAAGTATTTTCTTTTATCTGTCCTGAATACCCTTCTCCTCAGCTTCATGGGAGGATCTACAGTGGGTTGTAGTATTATGGGAGAAGGAGAAAAGTTTCTCCTTACCTGCATTCTCTGCACTGTGCATAACACACACACCTTTATCACAAACAGTTGTTTGGCATAATGTTAGAAGACCATAGCAATGAAGCTATGGGTCCCCTCATGCTAATTGTCTGGGTTTTAATCCTTATGGGTCTTGGGTCACTTCAGATCAGGCAGTAGTAATAACTCCTGGCTTGAGGGACAGAAAACAGGATGAAATCTATAGAGGTATAAAGTGAAATAGGACCCAAATCTTAACAACCCTCTTTCCTGGGGTATAGTGGTAAATTTTTGAAGTGCAGGTGCTCATCATGATCACTCCCATAGCCGCAGCTCCAAGGAGAGTCCAAAAATGCAGGCAGATTTGTTGATCTACATCAAAGGAAAACAACCTGGTGCCCTCCAGCTGTTTAGGACTAAAAGGCCGGTCAGTCCCAAACACCATGCTCAGTGGTCAGGAATTCAGGAATTGTTGAAAACATCTAGAGAGCACCAAGTTGCCTACCCCTTATCTATTTATCTGGGTGTGTGCATATTTTATGTGTGAGAGATCACTTCTGCCCCCAAAGAGCGCACACAGCATGAAACTCAATTTATTAGGATTATCTGATAGCCATACTATAGTGAGCTGCAAAGGACAATGCAGCGGGGCTTTGGATGATCTGCGATTGCATGGGAAAAGGAAAGAGGGACACAACATGCACCCAGGGGGCATGTGGTCACCTCAAGGATTTCCAGGCATCATGTGCTGGGGTGCAGGAAGGGTGGAATAGGCGCAATTACTCTCAACAGCCTGACTTGTCATGAGAACCCAGCCAAGGTGGCTTGTTACCTGCAACAAGAAGAACCCGTGTGCCTCCTCTCTTCAATCTCCAGCTTTTGGTGGCTTATTTCTCCTGTGTCCAGTGTCTTATTCCTCCCCTCCAGTCCCTGTGGCTTATTTCTTCACCTCCTTACCATGCCATGTCTTCAGTAATAAACCCTAAAACAAGCCATGGCTAGTTGAGGTGGTTTCTGAGCCACCCCCCGATGGTTTGTAAACCACCCCACGAGAAGAGTGCTGGCTTTGGACAACATGCCAAATCATCATGGTTTACAAACCTCCATGGTTTAATGTGCTGTGCAAACCTGGTCACTGTGTACCTTGAGACTTCAGTGGGCAGATGTGCCCACCCCTTTGCATGCTTTGCAATCTTAAAACAAATTACTTCTCTGCACATTCAGCTGTACAGGTAGTAACTGATTCTATTTCTGCTGACAGATGGACCTAGCGGAGCAGAACCGGCACATGCAGAACCAGCAGCGGACACGGAAGCAGCTTGCTCAGCTCTACCTTCTGCGCCTGCTGATCAATGGTGTCATCCTGCTATTGATGGTGGCTGCTTTCTACATAATCTATTTGGTCACAACATTTCCCCAGCACTACCATCAGGTAAGACTATTCTTCCGGCTTTTCTTCACAAGGCCATTAATTGCTGTATCTATTTTCAGGTTTGTCACAACACAGAAATCTGAGCTCTACATTAGGAGCTCTTTCTTTCCTACTTTCCTGCTGCAGAAACTGTAGGTGGAGCTGTGCTATAATGAAATAGCACAAATATACCAGGAGAAAGCATGTTATTTTCCATTATATCTCAATACCTAATTTTTCCCCTTCTTAAAAACCCAGAGAATGTGCGCTGGAACAAAACTGAGAACCATGACATTGCCCAAGGAGCCCATGAACATCTATGAACAAGGACTCACAAGCACAGAATAAATGCCTTGTGTAGAAAAGCCCTTCCTCCCTTAGCCAGAATCAGGAGTAAATCCATGAGCTAATTGTACCTCGCGTAACAAAGTGATATATTTTGCCAGTTCTGATTCTACTGCCAGTCATTTTAATTGAAAGACCCCACATTATGGAGTTATTAGGAGAAAAGGGGGACCATATTGTATAGTTTATCCATAAACCTGAAGTAAGAAGTGTAGCAGGATGAATTAATCTTTGTGCAAAGTTACGCTTTGAGTATTTTTAAAAATTTGTTTTTAATTTTTTTTAAACATTAATTGGGATGTACAAAGGGGAGAGAAAGAAGCCTTAAAAGGTGACAATAGAAACTGATACCTTCACATTTAAGGACAACTGGCAGTGACTGGGTATATTTGCCCTAGAATACTATTATTATTATTATTATTATTATTATTATTATTATTATTATTAGAACATTTCTATGCCGCCCCTTGCCGAAGCCTCAGGGCGGCTTACAACACAATAAAATACAATACAATACAAAATAACAATATAAAATTAAAATTAATAATATAAAATAAATAAAACATATAAATGATATAAAAGAAGTTATAAAAGAAAAGTTATAAAAGAAAAGAAAAGAAGTCGCCCTGGCCAGATAAATAAGTAAATATTGTTAACAATTAAAATGACGTTTAAATAAAAAGGTCTTCACCTGGCGCCAAAAAACAAATAACGACAGCGCCAGGCGGACCTCTCTGGGGAGCACATTCCATAGATTGGGCGCCACCGCAGAGAAAGCCCTCCTCTGAGTACCTACCCTCCTAATTTCTTTCACGGAGGGTTCCCGGAGAAGGGCCTCTCCCGCAGATCTCAAGGGGCGGTCGGGCATATATGGATGTAAGCGCTCCTTCAGGTAACCAGGTCCCAAGCTGTTTAGGGCTTTATAGGTCATCACCAACACCTTGAATTGGGCCCGGACTTCAATGGGAAGCCAGTGAAGCTGTCGGAGGACTGGAGTCATGTGAACATAACGCCCCGTCCCCGTCAGCAACCTGGCAGCTCTATTTTGAACCAATTGAAGTATTCGGACCGTCTTCAAGGGAAGCCCCACGTAAAGCGCGTTACAGAAGTCAAGGCGGGAAGTCACCAGCGCGTGTGTTACCGTCGCCAGGCAGTCGTACTCCAGGTAGGGGCGCAGCTGATTAATCAGCCGAAGCTGAAGGAAAGCGCTCCTCGCCACCGCTGTCACCTGAGCTTCCAATGAAAGCTCTGGGTCGAGGAGTAATCCTAGGCTGCGGACCTTGTCCCTAAGAGGGAGTGCAACCCCATTCAGGACCAGGTCAAATCCACCCTCTCCGAAGCCCGATCCGCCAACCAACAGGACTTCCGTCTTGTCTGGATTGAGCTTCAGTTTATTGGCTCTCATCCAGCCCATTACCTCGGCCAAGCACCGGTTCAGCACAGCCACTGCCTCACCTGGATTAGTGGAAAATGAGAGGTAGAGCTGGGTATCATCAGCGTACTGATGATTTCGCAGCCCACACCTCCTGATGACCTCTCCCAGCAGTTTCATATAGATGTTAAACAGCAAAGGGGACAAAATGGAGCCCTGTGGTACTCCATGGCATAGCTGCCATGGCGCAGAGCCATAGTCCCCCAGCACTACCTTCTGGAATCGGCCGTTGAGATAGGAGCGGAACCACTGCAAAGCAGTGCCTCCGACCCCCAATCCTGCTAGCCTATCCAGAAGGATACCATGGTCGATGGTATCGAAAGCCACTGAGAGGTCCAGAAGAACCAACAGGGATGCACTCCCCCTGTCCTTCTCCCTGCACAGGTCATCGTACAGGGCGACCAAGGCAGATTCAGTACCGTACCCGGGTCTGAAGCCGGACTGAAATGGGTCCAGATAATAAGTTTCATCCAAGAGTGCTTGGAGTTGTCCCGCCACCACCCGCTCTAACACCTTGCCCAGAAACGGGATGTTGGCCACTGGTCTATAGTTAGTGGCCATATCTGGATCCAGTGATGCTTTCTTTAGGACCGGTCGGACTACTGCCTCCTTTAAAGGGGCAGGCACCCGACCCTCCCTCAGAGAAGTGTTAACCACTTCCAAGATCCAGGTCCCAATCCCGTGCTTGGAATTATTTATTAACCAAGATGGGCAAGGGTCCAATAGGCAAGTGGTGGGACGTACTCGTCCAAGCACCTTGTCCACATCATCGGGCCGCAATAACTGAAATTCATCCAATAATTCTGGACCAGACGGCAGCATTGGCGTCTCCCCAGAAACCTCTGATTCATTAGTGGAGTCCAGCTCGTGACGAATCTGAGCAATTTTCTCCCTGAAATGCTTGGCAAAGTCGTCACAGCGGGCCTTTGAGGGTGGAACCGGATCTTCCTTAGGACCCAGGCGAACCAGGCCTTGCACCACTCGAAAAAGCTCCGCTGGACGGCATTGTGAGGAGGCAATGGAAGCGGAAAAAAACTTCTTTTTCGCCGCCTTCACCACCACAGGATAGGCCCGATAGTGGGCTCTCAAGTGTGTTCGGTCAGATTCATCCCGTGATTTCCTCCACCTATGCTCTAGACGTCTCCCAGCTCGCTTCATCGCCCGTAATTCAGGTGTATTGAAGATGTGGCAAGCGCATATGTGAAGCACATGCAGTGGTACCTTGGCTCACAAATGACTTGGTTCACAAACAAATTGGGTCACGAACAAAAATTTCTGAAAATTTTTGACTTGGGTCGCAAACACCACTTTGGGTGGTGACCAAGATCGCAGCCATTCCCCCGCCTCCCCCCCTGAGTGGGGAGATGGCCACGATCCCAGTTGCTTTCGTGCAGGGAAGGGGTGCCTGATCAGAGACATGCTGCTGCAGGAAAGACAGGAGCAGCAAAGCAGAGCCACGGGGAGATGGCCGAGATTCCACCTGTCTTTCCTGCAGGAGCGCGCCTCTGATCCCGCACACCATCCCTGCATGAACAGAACTGCAATCGCGACCATCTCCCCACCCCCAGCGCACCGTTTGTGCCCATCTCTCCCTCCCCCAGTGCGCCCGCGATCACGCCCGTCTCTCCCCCCACCCTCCAGCGCGCTGGGATGACAGGCGCCTGCAGGGATGACAGGCGCGATCTCAGTCATGCTGGGGGGGGTGCATGGATATGGCCGTACTTGTGCTTGGGGTGGGGGGGGGGAGATGGCCGCAAACTTTGTTGTCACCTTGCTTCACATTTTTCTGATTTAAAAATGGTTACAGAATGGATTAACCTTATTTACATTGAACCTTATGGGGAAATTTAACTTGGCTCATGGCCAATTTGCGTCATGACCAGAGTCCTGGAACAGATTAAGTTCGTGAGCCAAGGTACCACTGTATTCAGTGTCCGCAAATGTGCAATTCTATCTCAGATTCATCTTTGTATTCCCAGCAGGATGCAGCTAGCCTTGGTGTGCTGGTGCAGTACCTCCCACCTGTAGCCATTTCTGGGGTGAATCTCTTTATGCCATTTCTTTTACATGCCCTGGCCCAGTTGGAGAATTATTCTCCCAGTGATGAAGTCAACCTCACCATAGTCAGGTAGGTGTTTCCATCTCTGAAGGGATAAGTTATTTTAGTGGGAGAAAGCAGTGCAAAGTTTGCAACTTAGATAAAAGGAAGCAAATGATTCTGAGTAGCAGAATTTGTTACAGCCATGTCTAACCTGGGAAGCATAAGCTGGCTCAGTTGGTCATCAAATCCCTTATTGACAGTGTGACAGTAAAATAATACGGACACAGAACCATTGAGATGGGAGAGGTCCCCTTGCAAGCACACAAAGCTTTAGGCAAGCTATTTGGAACTGTCTGAATAGGGACTGGATCACTCAGCCATCCCATGTTGATGTTGTTATAGTAAAATCCATTCTGTTTAATTAAAACAGTATTGTCAGAAAAAGTGGATTTGCATTGAGTTTTTGTGAATGTAACGCAATTTTCTTTCAGAATACCCAGCCTTCCCCATCACAATTCCCTATACTTCTGCCTTCATAAATTGATAATACTAGCCTCATCACAAGGTAGGAAGACATGTGGCTTATGAAGCAAAGAACAAAGATCAGCGTAAATGTTGATCTAAAATATATAGCAGAATATGAAAAGATCTAGAATGTACTGAAGTAGCTCAGGACCAAACCATAGCCTTGTGCAGACAACATATTTTAAGTAGATGAAGAAGAAGCCAGAGTGAGTTCTTTGGTCCCACCAATCAGCTTCTCTACCCTGTTCATAATCCTTACACACAGCCTATGTACATACAGGAATGCGTGCGAATGCGTGCACTTGGACTCTTACCATGTGGTCTATACCTTGCTAGTGGATGCAGACACTTGCTTACTCAATGGGTAGTTGAGCGTGGTGTGTTGTCCCAGCCATAAGCTAGAGAATTTTGTGATCCCAAGGAACTGATGAGCCAAATTCAGGTTTGCTTACAAGGAGACTTTATTTTGCAGAAAACAGAAGTGAGCTGGCTTTCAAGGGGTTTAGCAGCACGTTGCTTACAATGCACAGCATTAACTGGACTCCAAGACAGACTTCACTCAGCTGGAACGGACAGTCAGTGAAGCTGCCTGTGAGATGACAGTGCCCAAACAACAGACAAGGGGATGGCTAGCTTATATAGGTTATATGTTTTCAGCAAAACTAAATCAAAGCATACTTTGGAAGCTTGGCAATATTGATGAACAAGGCAGCATCAGCACTTGTAATCTCACAGCGGATGATGAATGTCACACAGGTACCAGGACATAGCAAGCCAAAATGTACGCAGTTTCCTGTCCTGGCCAGTCAAAGTTTCTGATGTAAGGGTCTTATTCCCGTTTTGTGTGCCAGAATGATAGGCTGAAATGCCATAAGCTCATTAAGCTAATCATGTAACGAAGTGTATGCTTGTGAGCAGGTCAGAAAAGGTGCACATCCCAAACGGAGCACAGCCACATGTCCATCCTTTGACCCATCTCCCCTTCTTGCCAAGAAGGCCTTTCTGTCTTTGAAGGCACTTGTTCAGGATCAGAGGATGATAGGTAGAGTTCCACATTTTCATGAGGCTCCATAAGGTAACTAGAGTTCAGCACCTGACCTGTGCTAAGCAAGGCCTTTACTTTTGGAAGCCAGAGACTGTGGCCTGTATTCTGCAGCACAGGCCCAATACACATGGCTGTACTTGACCATGTGGCAAGCTGGCTGTATCATTTTGTCAAGGGGTGAGGAGCCCATTTCCCCCATCTTAGCAGTAGTTGTATGGGGAGATGCTTGTCTGGATTCACTTGTGGTCCGATGGGGGTCTGCATTACTGGGCAGAACTGTGGAGTCCAAGTGAGAGGTGCAGGCCAAGCATCTTGTTTCTCGTGTGCTCTCTGGCAGGTGTGTCCTTCTGAGACTGTCCTGCCTGGGAATGTTCCTGTTCTTCCTGGGCCACAGGATCTTGTGCTGGGGGAGCAGTAGCGCTGTCCAGTGCCAGCCGTGTGGTTACAACAAACTCTATCAGGTGACTGGCGATGCATGGGATGGTCAGACTGACCCTTTCCTGTTTAGAGCAAATGTGGACCAGCCATGCCATTCTGGAGCATCTGATTTGGCCACAATTTCAGCACAGTTATATAGAGATGTAATTTGGTGAAATGGACATTTATCTTATTTGTTGTTGCTGCCCAGTAATGGAGTTACTGGATTTCACTTGTGGAAGAAATGAAAAGTATGACAGGCATAATAGCATAATACATCACCTGAGCCAGTGAAGAATTTATTTTAATAATTAAATAGATAGTATGCCCAGAAGTCATTAGGCTGTATCCAATGTTAGTTCTAGAGTAGTCTTATTAAAATGAATGGGATTTAATTTAAATCAAATGGATAAAACCCACTGAGCTAATGGAGCATTTACTTAAAACAGTCTGGATGGTTGTCTCTTATAATGGGAAGAAACCTAATTCTCTTTTTAAAACATAAGGTTATAGAATCTGGATTATGGCTTATATAGTGAAAATAATTACCCTGCCCAGAGCTAGGAAAACAGAAAGATGATAGGTTCACAGAGAGAGTGAGAGGTTAGAGCCGGACAGAATAAGGAACTTACAGTATTTTCTTCTTTCTGATCATATTTATTGGTATGACATTATGTAATTGTACAATGTTATATGCACAAATAAGATACACTGAAAAAGTTATAATAAAAATTTAAAAAACAGTTTCAGCACTGAGAAGCACCTTGCTGATTGTTCATACTTACTGAACAAAAAGCAGTTTAGACTTTTTGCACTAACTCTGTATGAAGTATTATGCCTACAGTTCCATGCTCAACATATAGCAACATGTCTGGTATAAGAATTCCTTTCTGTTTTGTCATATTTATGACTCACTCCTTTTGTCCCATCTGAGTGTGCAGTGCTGGGAAAACCGCATTGGACAGGAGATGTATAAGATGACCATCTTCAATTTTCTGACCACCTTGGCATCATCTTTCCTGATCAGCCCTCTCCGGAGGTAAGGCAAGAGAGCGTAACCAATAGTCCACCTTGGTCTTCTTGATGGTGGGCCTACCTCAGCTTAAAACAGGTGGCCTTCCCTTTCATCTATGGAAAGGCTATTAATTCTTCAGGCGATATTAAGCAGGACAGCATTATTTTACCCCCCTGCCTCGCAGGGTGATACCAGGTGATATGGTTACAGGACAGCATGAGATAGCAAATGTAAACATGTAAGAGCCTTCTGGGTTAAACCAAAGCGTTATCGAGTCCAACATTCTCTTCTCAGAGTGTCCGGCCAGAGTTCACAAGTAGGACATGAATGAGATCGGACCCCCTGCTTGTGTTCCCCAACAATTGTTATACAGAATGCTGCCTCTGATATCGGAGATGCCATGGAGCCATCATGGCTAGTAGCTACTCGTAGTCTTAATTTATCAGAGTTAGTCTAATTCCCCTTTAAAGCTGTCTGCTGATAGTTCTTGCCACATACTGTCTAGCAAAGTCCAGAGCTTAAATGCATGTGGTGTGAAGCACTTCCTTTCCTCTGCCCAGAATTTCCCAGTTCGGCTTCTTTGGATGACCCCATTAGTTTCTCATATTATGAGAGAGAGAGAAAAGTACCTGATTATCCACTTTCTGCATACCATGCACAATATTATACATTCTATCATGTTCTTCCTCATATGACTTTCCCCCCCAAAATAAAAAGCTACAGACATGGTAAAATTTCCTCCTGTGGAGAGTTGCTCCAACTCTTTGACCATTTTGATTGCTCTTTTCTGCACTTTTTGCACTGTACAGTATGGTTTTTGGGGAACGGCAACCAGAATGGTACATAATATTCAAACTGTAGTTACACCATACATTTGCAAAATGCCATTACAATATTGGTATTTTTTAAATTTTTAATTCCTTACAAAATGAGCCCTAACAGTGGCAGCTGCAGGGGAAAATTCCAACCCAGTGTGAGGCTTATATGAAAAAGGGAAATTCCATGTTAAACATAATTAAGAAAGAAATCGAATATAAAACTGCTAAAATTGTACTTCCTTTATACACATTTAAGTGACCACACTTAGAATACTGTGGATTTCCTGGTCATTGCATCTGAAAAAAAGACACTTTAGAGTAAAATAAAGTTAAGAAAAGGGAAGCTAGAATGATGGTGGGGGTGGAGGAACTTCCCTACACAGAAAAGTTACAACAGCTGGGATTGTTTAGTTTAGAAATAAGACTAGTGAAGGGATAGATGACAGGGCTTGCAGAATTATGCATGCTGTGGAGAAAGTAGGACTGGGAGACATTTTATAATACTTGTACTTGGAGTCATCTCCCAGTTGGTGGGAGATTCATTGCGGAGAAAAGGAATTATTATTTCACGTAACGCATAGTTAGGGTATGGAATTCACTTCTGCAAGATGGAGTGACGGCTAATGATTTTCATGGCTTTAAAAGGGGACTGAACAACTTCATGGAGGAGAACACTGTCAAAGGCCACTAGTTTTGATGGATATGTGCTACTTTCAGTGTCAGGACAGCATGCCTCAGCACAGCAGAAGAACATCAGAAAAACCATGCTGGACCCGACCAGAGGTTGATCTAATCCAGCGCTCTGTGCACACAGTGGCAAGCCAGCTGCCCACAGGATCGCTCAAGTAGGACGGGTGCAAGACCTCTGCCAGCCCGAGCTCCTCAGCCTCTGCTGTATGCAGGCAGGCAGGCAGGCCACCCCTGGTAAAGGAGGCAGCACATAGCCAGCCACCGGTAGCCTCCTCCCTCATGAACCTGCCCAGTCCCCTTTCAAAGCCATCCCATTTGGTGGCCATCGCCACTTCCTGTGGCTGCAAATTACTTCCCTTGCAAGTAATTCAACTATGTTGTATGAACAAGTACTTCCTTTTGTCTGTCCTAAACCTTCCATCAATCAGCTTCATGAGGTGATCCTGGGTTCAAGTGTTATAGGAGAGCAACAAAAAGGTATCCCACTGTACTTTCTCCACACCATGCATTATTTAAAACACCTCTGTCCTGTCTCCTCTTACTCACCTTTTTGAAAAGCTGAACAGTCATGGGTGTTGTTGCTGCTCCAGCCCTTGATCTTTTTTGTTGCCCAGTTGCTGGGGAAGATGGGCAGGAAGCTGCTTGTTGCCCTTATATCCTGCTTCTGAGTTTCCCATGGCTGCTTCTTGGCCAAGGTGTGAACAGAGGGCTCCGCAAGATGGACCCTGGCTCTGATCCAGCAGGGCTCCGTTTGTGTTCCAGTGGTGTTCTTATTGTCTCATGCTTTGTGGCTGCCAAGCACGTGGTAAAGTCCCCTGTGATGTGTCATTTACAAGGATATAGGCCTAGGCCAGCTTTCCCCAGATGGAATTATATTCTAACATATTTGGAAGGCTCTAGTTTGGGGAAATCTGAGTTAGGCAATGGCATGTCATCCTGCTACAGCTATTGGAAATGGATGGCATTCCTTGCCTCTGAATGCTTTCTCTCCCGTGAATCCCAGGTTGCTGGTGAGGTATTCCTCCAGCGCAGTGGCTCGGTGGCTTGGCAAAGAAGAATTCCTGGTGCCCCACAATGTGCTGGATATTGTAACCATTCAGACAGTCATATGGACTGGGATCTTCTTCTGCCCTTTGCTGCCTTTGGTTGGCTGTGCTTCCATCTTCCTTGCCTTCTATATCAAAAAGGTAAAGGCTCTGTTTGTGAATGTGCCCCATCTGGGTTAGCGTCTCTGCCCTCCAACCCTCTTGCTTGCAGCTTCTCAGGAAGGTGGAATGACCCTGGCTAAGTGGGGACAGATGAGTCAAGCGGTACATAGTGCTAAGCCTCAAGAAGCATTGGTAGCTATTCTTTCTCCATCGTCTTTTTAAAAGGCTAATATTTTCTTCTAGTAAGAAAAAAGGCAGCAGTAGTAGTCCTAAAACATAGAACTGCTAATGGAAGACGGCAACATTTGAACCGTCTGTAAAATTCCATGAATGAGACAGAATGATCAAAGTAATTTTTGGCCATCTGTAAGAGTCGTGGCTTACAAGAGAAATACAATAGAGAGCTATGCAAAACAAATTGTGCTGCCTCATCTAGAAGCATTTCACTCGCAATGCTTATTAACACTTATTGTCATTATTTTATTCTAATGCTGTTACGATTTGCTTGAGGTTTTTTGTCCTGTGCACATCTCCTGAGGAATTTTCTTACTGAGGGGTATATAAAATGTTGTAAATGCATATTCATGCAGCTCAAGTCAGACAGCCCATCCTCCTTGGTCGGATCGATCTCCACAGGGAGTGAGGTGGCCTGGCTCCTCCTGACGTGCTTCCTGTGGAGGCTTCCGCACCCAGATGCTAGCCTGCCACCCCCTGCAGCCTGATTGTACCCTGTCCACTGGGGTTGCCAGCAGGGGTGAGCCCACCTAGTTCCAGCAGCGGTGACATGCAGCAGGTTGGATTAGCAGGCTGTGGCTGCACGCGGGCTAGTGCTGGGGACTGAGTCCGTTACCTCCAGCCTTGATACTGGGGTTGTGGTATCATTTGCCCTTTGAACCAATGTGTTACATGTCTCCAGGGAACTGAAACTGCTAGATGAATCCCAAGAATATTGGGAACAAACCACTCCCTTGCTCCCTCTGCTTTTCTCTTCCTTAGCCTCATCGCACGCCCCATCAGCCTGCTTGAAGGTCTCTTAGAGGGAAGAGGGCGCCTGCATCCCATGCCGTGTGACAGTGCAGTGGGGACTCTCCTTAACTCCCCTTTTCTCACCCACAGTATACCCTGTTTCGGAACTGCCAGCCTTCAACTCGGCTGTTTCGAGCATCCCGTTCTAAATTCCTCTTCCAGATCATGCTGCTGCTAGGCCTCTTCCTGGCCTGCACTCCTCTGAGCTTTGCCATCAGCAGGTAGGCTGAGATAAAACTGAGGAGTGAGCAACTTAGACATGACCTGGCAAAACCTCTCTGACAGTCATATTTCTCTTCCAGGGCCTCTCCATCCCACGCATGTGGGCTCTTTGCTAACTATGCAGTTCCATGGCATGCAGTGAGCACAGCGGTGTCCGTTCTGCCTGCCTCAGTGCAGCTCATCCTGGACTATGCCACATCCAGTGTCTTTTGTTTCTCACTTCTGATGCTGCTCAGGTGATTCCTTTTGGTGGGCACGAGTGGATAGGAAGGGAAAGGTCCCTGATCATTCCCTGGTTTTCTCTGCAAGCGTTCCATGGTAAAGTAACAGGATGTTAGATGTGGGCTGCAGCATTCAATAGGACATGTGGTGATGCTTCCAGAGCACTTCTGCCTCTGGTCAACTTGCTAGGGATATACACTGAGCTACTGAGATCACCAAGCATGGCATCTGCTTAACTTGCGAGCCGAAGAAGCCTCCTTGTCTCTTGGCCTGGTGATTGCTGATTGCAACTTTGGGCTGTACCGAATGGCCTGAGAGCAAGACATTCTGCAGTGATGCTGAAGCTAAGCTGCTGGGGGCACAATCAGTCCCTTGGATCGGAGATCAGTGGGAGTGCATGCAAGAGCTGGGCTGTAATAAATATTTCTAAGAGGACATTATAACATCAACATCTGACATCATTAATACGCCTAATCATCACTATGATGGCTTGACATTACCAGCAGGGTTGGGCGGGGGAAGGATCCTGGAAGGTGGTAAAAGTGCCAAAGCTGCTCTTCTACAATTTATCATTCAATTTACAGTGGATTTGCAGTCACCTTCTTAAAATCAGAACCCTTCCGTCACTGTTTGATAAGATAGGTGAGTGGGCATCAAGACTCCAGGAATTATGGATGTTAGTGTAACAGTCCCTGTTTTTCTCCCCTAGCCTCATCCTTACAGTAATCATAGCTCAGGCACAGGAGAATAGACGAGTCATTGAAAGACTCAAAAAGCAACGGGAACTGGTGAGTAGTCCTGCAGCTCTGGATGCCAGGTGACATGCGATAATAGCATATCACGGCAACTCTGGCAACACCTGCCTAGATCATAGTGTATACTATGGGCCACATAATGTAACCTGCTCCTTCTTCCAGTATGTCAAGGAGAAATGGCATTTGGTGAAGAAACTGGCTCAAGCATTCGTGGAATTACTGTGAGTTCGGGGAAGAGGATCCTCCACAGGAAGTGAAATTCTGGCAGCGCAGTAGCAGCGGCAAAAACTCCTGCTAAGGGGATCAGAGCCCATAATTGGAACATGCCAGAAATAAAGAAGCCACTATAACCATGAATTTTCTCATTAGGCCACAGAGGCTGTAGACTAGCCTTCATGTAGCTCATAAAGGACTTTCTCTGTGAGCTGCTCTACCTATTTTGCTGGACTCATGCTAGAGCAAGTTCTGGCAAGCCTGCTGGGTATTAAAATGATGCTTTTAGAGAAGAACAAAGCTATATGCTATAAAGCTATATATGCTTATATCAAAATACAAAAAGGGTATTTTCAGTCGAGAATGTCACCAATCCTCATGGAAATGATTTGCTCACTAACTGGATCATGAATCTCTTGGTCATTCAAAATAAAACAAGGGTATGTGCTTTGTCTACCAAGTGTTAGAAGTTTTGTGAGTTTTGTTATAGGTACTACTTCCACATAAGTACATAAAGTGGGAAGAGATTATTATTATAATTAACACATTACATTGCTATACCGCTATAGCTTGAAGCTCTCTGGTTGGTTCAGAACATTATGTGAATGTGTGCATGTACTGAGTAATAGATTGAGTGGTGATGGTGAACCCATGTAGAAAAATATCTGAACACAGGGAGTAGGGCTGTATTAATAGGACTACTGTGAATTACGACTCAGACTATACATTCTTTAGAGAATGTCACCACATGAGCTGAATCAAAGATAGAAGCACTTTATTGTTTTAGCTTAGGGATCCATAGTTCATGAAGTGAATCCTTCTTTCAGATTGTTTAATTTTCTCTGCCTGCCTAATCTAAAAAATAAATTGGTATCATTCTTTGCAGAGCAACACACACAGAGTGCTGTGTTATCAAATGAATCTGTTCCAGCCTGTTTCTTTTATACTACAACACACACAGAAAAGATACCAGATAATCATAATGTCTTCCTGTGTCTTGCCCGCTCTTTCCAGTCTGTGCACCCACCTCTGGGGCACCAGATCTATTCATTCCAGACCCTCCTGTTGGAAGAATCCAGCACTTCATCTCTTAAATGGAATAAGACATACTGAAAGTAATACGAGGCTGAACCCGCTTTCCAGTTTCTTATCCTTACTTCCTTAGTTGACCAGCACCATTATGGTGACCAGCACCATTTAAATTACCCTATAACTCATCATTTTCATGAGCAGGAAATGCACTCTGTCGAGAGTCACAAGCGTTCTCTAATCAAAGTGTTGTTTGTGTATATGCTTTAAGACAACAGGCATGGGGTGGAGGTTAGTTGGTGGACCCTGATGTAAAGAGTAACTGTCTCAAGAGCATAGGAAAACAATAAAGGAGCTATTATGAACAACTTAAGGGCCAGTGCTGATGCATTGCTGGTAAGTTTCATTTCAGGGAAGCTGCTAAAAAACTTGGAGGAGATACAAGACACAAGCAACTCTTATTATCTGGAAACCTGTGACCATACTGCATATGCAAATAAAAAGTATCTCGGCTAAGGCACTGAGCCATATTAATCTTTGCACTGGTTTCAGTTCTGCAAATTATAATGTGTAGGGTCTAAAAAGCATTGGATCAGTTAAACTGGTATGAGCTAGCCTAAACCTGTTCAATGTGAACCACTCAACCATTTCTACAGCACAAAATGGCATCACAAATGATAGGCTATGTTAAGTCTGAAGACTGCAATGTATTCCTGCTTGCCTGTGTTTACCACCAGAGATGCAGGGAAATGCAACCCACAGTATTCCTTCATTGTATAAGGATATACTTCTGTTAAATATACTTTGGAAAAAGCATGCTTCAAATGGCTGCTTATACTATACTTTGGAAGAAAAGTGGTTGCATGAAATGCTGGCTTAAGCAATGCTTCTGAGCCAGTTCACATAGAGATTTTCAAAAACTGCTCCTACATAAGGAAAATAGCAGGGGTGGGGGAGAAATTATCTGTGGAACTGCAGCACGGATCCCCCCCTCCCCCAATCTAGATCAGGGATTTCTTTGGGCACAATCCTAGCGTGTTTATACAGAATTACAAGAATTACAGCTCCTATAATTCCCCAGCTTGCCTTTTTTTGGGGGGGGGGATCTTTTGGGCTTGTCCACACATGACTGGGATTGCACCGTTAAAAACGATTTTTAGAATTTAGAAATTACGCGTTTACTGTAATGAGAATGCACCTGTGCTTTAACCGATGTTCTGACAACGAAAGATATTTTAAGTCAATTCTGTCATGCTATTGATTCATTTGATTCGCCAACTGTCATCAGATAATTGGAGTTTAATAAGTTCATGTATACAGAGGATCTCCAAATCTCTGCAAGTGCCTTGTGACTCTAATTCGCAGCGAAAGCCAATGCCGGCCGAGGAAGGGGAGATACTGATCTAAGCGGAATGCCGAACGGACAACAAATATTTGAAGTCCGAAAATCCAGAAACTCGGGGAGAAGTTTTGTGCCCCTGCTCCCCGCCGCACCCCTCAAGCTCGTTGCCCGTGACAGGGTTCCATGCGCTTCGCTTCAAGGCGGGACAAACCTGCAAGATCGCCTGAGAACATGTGACGGCGCGCAGGAAAGGGGCGCGAGCCGCGCGCAACTTTCCCCGACCACGCGCAGGGAGAGGCGCGCGGGCCACTGCGCCTCCGCCGTCCGCGCCGGGTCTCCTCCCTGGGGGCGGAGTGGAAGGGTGGGGCTTGTACACGCGCAAACACAAGTTCGGGCGAAGCGGCCACAGTGAGTTCCGGGCCGGGACAGGCGCGCGTAAAACAGCGTCAGGATCATGGAGAGCGGCGGAGGCGCTTACGGAGCCGCCAAGGCGGGCGGCACGTTCGACCTGTGGCACTTCTTGCAGCAGCCGCAGGTCATTGCACGCCTTCTGAGCGCGGTGAGTGGGGCTCAGGCTGGGCTACGCCTGACAGCGGAGGGCAAGGGGTGCTCGAGCTTCTGCAGCGGGCGCCCCCCTTTGGTCTCCCTCCCCGGGGAGTCGGCGCCCCCACCCACGGTTGCGCCTGGGTCCGGGCGAGAGAAGTGGCCATCGTGCCGCGAGTTGGGGAGTCCGGGAGCAGCCGCGTTGAGGCTGTTTGATTGCAGCGGTGTCTGGGTCCCGTCTGGCACCTGGGCCGCGATCACCACCTAGGAAGCGAAGGCGGCACAGTGCAGTGTCATGCCACGCCGTTGGAAGCGAAAAGGCACCTGCTAGGGGCGGAGGAAGCCCCACTCCCTTGGCAGGCGGTGACTTGGGCAGCCCAGCCGGAGGAGGAGGAGCCTGGGCTCGTTGCCTGCCTCTGCCAATACCCGCGGTAAGGTGCTTTGGAAGCGCCCCGGGGCGGGCGGTGCTGGCGCGCGGAGCTTGTGGTTCCACTTCGACTTGAGCGCAGGCGGAGCGGGCAGACGCAGGTTCCGTCTTCCTCCCCGGGGCTGCGTCCGGCTGGTGCGGCGCTCAGTATGCGAGAGCCGCAAGCAGGATCCCCTCAGCGGCTTCTGTGGCTTTTCAGTACCTGTTGGCGGTGCCGAGGAAGGCTCGCTGCTTTCCCTTCTCTGCGCTCGCTTGGGCCGCAAGGCTGAAAGAAGTTCGCCACTCTGCGCTGTGGCTTATCTGAGAAGCAGCCTAGTCATATGGATGTCAGCTGATGGGTCATGGGCGGCGGCGGCGGTGGCGAAACCGTCGCCTTTTTACTGGCGAACTGAGCAGGATCCAGGCTTCAGCATTTTGTTTCAAAACCCCGAGCTTCCTTGCCAAAGGGAGAAGTGATCCCCTTAGCTATGGTGATGTAGGGAATCCCCAGAGTAGAGCAATTCTCAAGAGAAACTGATCAGGAGGACAATGTCAGAACTTACGCCAGAAGAAATACATGCGTTAGTCTTTAAGGTTCAGCCGGACTCTTCGCTTTTCCCCCCCGCCATATAAGGCAACTTCCCCCTTCTCAACCCCAGTGCCTTCCTGAGTGTCAGACTACAGCTCCCATCATTAGCTAGTGCAGTTGGTTAGGGAATGATGGGCATTGTATCTGGAGAGCACGTGGTTGGTGAAGCCTGGTGAGGAAGAAGGGAATCTGTTGAGCAGCAGCCCACTCGTGCTGAGCACCAGGGAACTAAACTAACGGTTCCTCCAAAATGTATTCTTGGGGCAGGGAAAAAACTACACTCTAGTCCCATGCTTTTGTTTAAACTATAGTCCCAGGAGTGTCCTTGAAATGATGTGGAAGTGATAAATAATTATTAATTACCAGTTTTTATGTGGGATGTCTGTGTGCTTTTTAAAAACTTTCTGGAGAGCAGGGAGAAAGGATTGGGTTTTTCCAGGATGTTGTTCAAGGGCTCCCCAAACAACTATTCTACTGAAGTCGCTTGGGGAACTAAGGATACAATCCTATGTATGTTCAGACCAATAAATAAATCCTTGCAACTCCCAGCATTTTTCCCAGCATAAGTCTGGGAAAAAGCATGCGTTGGATGCAGCCTAAGCGACTGCAGGCGATGCTTCCCTTAGCCCATGCTTGAATGAATGCCCACGTATGTGCACTCACACGTGTGCGCGCACGCACGCACACACTGATGCCTGACTACTGCTGAGTTCATGTGAAAGAGTTGTGGTATTCGTATTTATTCGTTTGTTTGTTTTAAGTTTTTCTATGCTGTCTCATTACTAAAAAAAAGTCTGGATGGCTTACAAAGCTTGATGGATGGATGTGGGGTTTCTTTTTTTTTTAATGATCTGTGGTGAGGGCTGCGGTTATTAGTCTGGGTCTATTTTATTTTGCCAAAGCTGTTAGCAGTAAATCTTAAATTAACATTATTTTAATTGTATCTTTAATCTTTAGCTAAAACGTTAAACACCTTTTATTTTAAAAAGAGGAAGATGTATATGTGAAGGGAAACTTGATGGAAACAATTCTAGTGAAAGTTAAGTAGAGAGTGAGTGGTGGAAAAATTAGAGTAAGTGCTTGGCAAAAGCACTGATGAAGGCAAGAAAAAACCCTGGCACTAGTCAGCTACGGTGAGAGAGGTACGTAACTGCATCCTGAGGATGCTTTGCCTGAGAGACCCTGTTTTAAAGATCAAGGAGGGATGCCCTGCAAGTAAACTGCAAATCACGGTGAGGAACACAGGGCTGTCCAGACTGGTTGGCCTGCAACTTCCATTATAGTATAGCAACTCCCAGCATAGCTGATGACGAAGGATGATGAGGGTTACAATCCAACCACATCTGGAGGGCCACACATTCCCAAACCCTGGTAGAAATTCAGAAGGAGAGGGTGGCAGATTTCCAGCGGTTTTGTCTGCTAAATGGAATTCCACTTGGTACAATGGCTGGCACCCAGCTATAACTACAACAAAGAGTCTTGTAGCATATTGAAAGACCAGCAATCTTACAGCAGCCCCTCCATCCACACTTGTCTTCATGTGTGTGTGCTGGTCCCGAACCCAGAGAAATGGGGAGGGTTGAAGAAAGACCTGGCAAGCCACCTTAAAAAAGCTCGCCAAGACCATGACAAGTTTACCTGGGGGTACCAACACATCCGGTCAGGTTGCTGCAGTCACTATATGCAAACCAGCAAGCAGCTGTAAGAACACCAAATGGGGACACAAATTGGCTCAAGGTTAGGAAAGGAGTCCGACATGGATGCATTCTCTCCCCTTTTCGGTTCAACTTGTATGCTGAAGCAATCATGAGGAAGATGGATCTTAAAGAATCAAAAGTTGGGGTAAAGACTGGAGGAGGAACCATCAACAACCTTCAATATGCTGATGACACAACTCTCCTCTCAGTAACCCAGGAAGGTCTAAAGCATTCAAAGAAGGGAGTGAGAAGTTCAGCCTCCTTCCAAACATCAAAAAGATGAAGATCTTGACCATTGCACAGAATGAAGTAATCAAAATAGCAGTTGGTTATGTGGGAACGGAATGCGTAGAGAAATTCACTTTCCTGGGATCACTGTCGCACCAGTGAATGCAGTCCAGATATAAAGCGATGAATTTCACTAGGTTGTATGGCAGTGACAAGTATGAATCAAGTGTGGAAAAACAAGAACATCAGCTTGGCAACCAGGTGCAGATTGGTCTGAGTGATCTTTTTTTCCTGTTGCAACCTACGGTTGTGAAAGTTGGACAATGAAAAAGCTAGACAAGAGGAAAATAGACTCATCATTTGAACTCATTTGTGGTGTTGGTGGAGGCTCCTGCACATTCCATGGACAGTGGGAGTCATGATCAAGCAGGTGCTGGAGCATATTAAACCAAATGCATCTCTGGTCAGCAAGAGAATAAAGCTGAGATTTGTGTATTTTGGCCACATTGTGAGATCAAGCTCATTAGAAAAAGATATAATGCTTGGAATGCTCAGCAGCAAGAGAAACCAGGTTGCCAAAGAGTAAGGTGATTAGACTCCATCAAAGAGGATGTGGGTCAGAGCATAGTTCAGCTGGATGAATTGGCACAGGATTGGAAGGTGTGGTGAGATTTGATCTATAGGATCACTTCTAGTTGGAGACTACTGAACAGCTGAACAATAACAAGCTTGCAGCACAATCCTGTGCAAGTTAAGATAGGTAAAAATCCCTACAAGTCCCAGGTTGCCCCAACCAGCATAGCTGACTAAAGCATAGTGGGAGCTGTAGGCCTTTTTTTCTGTCTACACTTATATAAGATTGCACCTTTGTATAAGCAGACTCAAATGGTTACTGCTGTGGAAACAGCTGTAACAGTTGCTCCTTTTCTGCTCAGAACTATAAGGGATTTGTAGACTGCCTTGAATGAGGGCCATGTCACTGTCAGCTGGGCACAAGGGAGCAAGCTGCAGTCTTGTAACAGTAATATTTGTAGAGCTGTTGGTCCTCAGAGTTTGTGGGAGTTGTCATTAGCCTGATAATTCATTGTAGTCGGATTGTGCTTTTACTCAGTCATTTCCTTAGTCTGGAAGTTGTTAACAGTGTACCCTTTTCTTTTTCTTTTCATTTCTTCTCTTTTCTGCAGATATTTGCACTCATAGTGTTTTCTTGTATCATTGGAGAAGGCTACACTAACTACCATGACAAAGAGGAGCTCTACTGCATCTTTAACAAGAGCGATTCTGCTTGCCGCTACGGCATCGGTATCGGGGTGGTTGCCTTCCTGGCTTGTATATTCTTCTTCATGATTGATATCTACTTCCCACAGATCAGCAATGCCACAGATCGCAAGTACCTTGTTATCGCTGACTTGGGCTTCTCAGGTAATTCTCACCAGGAAGTGCAACCTGAAGCAAATTCCTGGGGAGAGCAGCTGGGTTCCCTTACTTTACTGCCAGTGCGATGCATGTTTGGAACAGCCTGGCTTTCCTGGCGAGGTGCTAACTAGGACCTGCTTTGTTTTAGTGCAGGTGCTTTCCAGAGGTGGTGAGCTGGGTTCCCGAAACACTGGGATGCCACAGTTTCTTGACAGGGGAGGGTGCTAGAAGGGTGATGCCATGGAACCAGGTCCCTTTTTCTCCTGTGACATGAGCACTTGGAACATGTCGACAGTCAGAAACTTCCCTGAGAATAGTGAAACTTCCCTGAGAAACATGAGATGGTGGGCTCCCATCTCAAGCCTTGCTAACTTTTAAGCAACATGGTTTTGTGGCTGTTGCAGAGTGTAAGAGCATATTTCAAAATGTCCTAACAGCCAGAATGTATGTGACAGTTACTTGATCACAAGGTGAGGGGGAAGTAATTGCCTTCTGCCTGCAGGAAAATGGGAACAGAGCAGTGGCATCTGCTGCGGTATTCTTCCCCAGCCTGGATCCTTCCAGATGTTGTGGACAATTCCTGTCAGCCCAAATCAACATGATCAGGAATTACAGGCCAAAACATTTCGAAGATGCAAGTAAAATGAGATCAGTTAGGCCTTTGCATCAGAGAGGCAAGAGTTGTCTCTGCTGTGTCTTAAGTTTGGGAAGAACAGCATATAGGCCAAAAGAGTTTTACATAGTTCTTTGTGCCCTATGCATAAACTGTCCTGTCTCTTCTACCTCTGTTGCTAAACATCTGTTTCCTATCCAGCTGTCTGGACCCTTCTGTGGTTTATCGCATTCTGTGTGCTGACAAACCAGTGGGCATCAACACAGGGCAATGTTTACATTGGGGCTGATTCTGCCCGTGCGTCAATTGCCTTCAGCTTCTTCTCCATTTTCTCATGGGTGAGTAAGAATTTCCTTAAAGCCTCAGATAGGACTTATATCAGGCAGTCCTCAGTCTGCATTTTATTCCTGAATTGAGGAGGATGTGCAACCAGTGATCAGTGAGCTAGCTCAGTTAAGAAACTGAGCTTGGAACCAGGAAGCAATAGGTTTGAATCTTCCTTTTTGTCACTAGTGTGTGAAGTGACTGTAAGGCAGCCTTCCCCAACATGGTACCTTAGGATATGTTGGACTGCAATGCCTGTAATTCCCACACAGCATGGGAACGTGTCTGACAGAGGACTTGTAGCATTTGAATTATGCTATTTCTGTACTGCCCAAAGCTGTGCGTGCATGCAAACTACCTTGGGAACACTCAGAATACAATATTGCCCCAGGAAAATTTACCCAGCTGACTCCAGGATCTGAACGGGAGCGGCAATTTTGCATGCTTGACCCCGCAGGAAGTATTCCTGGCATTGGGCTCTCTAAGGGAGGCGTGATGTGATTTATTTGACAGCACTGCAGAAGCTGCTTGCAGTGCCTGCTGAGCGGTTCTTAAAGAATGGCTCCTGCTCCTTGCTGACCCAGAATGATGACACTTTCCTACCACAGGCGCTCCTGATCACCTTTGCTCTTCAGCGTTACCGCATGGGTGTGCAAGCTTTCGATCACAGCTACATCGACCCGCCTCCTGGTTCCGCACCGCCTTACTCCAGCTACCCCAACGTCGGTCATGAGAGCTACCAGCAGCCGCCCTTCACTCATCCTGCCGAAGGGTCGGAGGGCTACCAGCCCCCACCCGTCTACTGATTTCCACTAGCACTGTTGAATGATGCTGTCAGGGATAGCCACATAAGTGCAATTAGTTCACTTCTTGGTTCGGGGAAAGGCCTCTACTGTGAAGGGTAATAATGGTGCCATGGCTTTGTCTGTGGGTGCGCGTGCGTGTGCGAGAGAGAGGGGTTCTGGGTTATTCCTGTTGCTCTGCTTCTTTTCAGGAAATGCTTTTTGTTACTCTCAGGGCTTTGGGGGCCTTCTTGCTGGCCAGTGTATTTGAAATGTAATGCAGAAGGGCAGCAGAGAAGAGGGGGTAGCTGGATCTCTTTGCTTTTGCGGCTACGTTAATTATCAGCTCTGGCAATGGCTAGAGACTTTATCCAGCAGGCAGGGAAAAGGATTTGCTCCTTTCTACTTGAAGCTGCCTGACTGAAGCCCTCACTGCTGCCTCTCACGTAACATCGCCTTCCCACCAGTGCCTTGCTCTCCTTGGCTCATTTCTAACGCTTCAGCCCCTGAATGGGGCTTGATTCCCACGGCTCCTATGGTGCTGCCTTTCGGGGGCGAGCGATGCCGGTGCAGTGCCTCCTTTTCAGCCACTGTTGAAAGGACATGGCGCTGATGCCGAGGCCCAAAGGCCCTGACATTTCTTTCAGAAAGTTTGTATATAAAGCTTTGATTGCACTTCCTGCATTAGAGAGTAGAAGCTGGATTTTCCTGTGTGTTCCCTCAGTTTTCCTTACCAGGTTAAAGCCTGGTATAAGGCGGGAGGGGCCAGGCTCCCTGAAGAATGGCTTTTCCGTAGTAAATATTCTAATAATAGCTTGGGAGCTGCTAAGCAGGCTTTCAGCGGAGGGGCAATACTGTGCTGGGGTGGGAAATCCACTTGCACAACACTTTCACTGCTAACCTTCCACTAGGTAGCTTTCAAGCCTTCCAGAGAAAGCTGTGCTTTCTGCATGGATGGCAGGGCTAAGTCACTTCATAACTGCATGTTATGGGAAAGTTCTGGCATTGGCAGCCTCACAATAGGAAGGCGTGCAAGGATTCTGAAGCGTTTTAAGTCTGTATCATGGCAGAAATAAACCTGGTCACTCCCACCATAGAGAATGTGTAGTAGACTCTGTGCTATATTAGGGAAAATGCCAGATATTCTGGTTCTGGATAAGAGATTGCTGAGTAAGACAGTATGTGGCTGGTTCTAGGGAAGGAGAGGTGTAATCTCTTGGCAGCTGCCAAAACAATCTGTACAAACCTCTTTAGTCTTTCCCAAAAAAAAAAAAAAAAGCCACAGAGGATAAACTTGTTACCTGCTGTTCTGGTTTTTGCCCAAACAAGTACTCAGCCAGTTCACCAGCTGAACCTATATCTCCTACTATAGCTCTTGTGTGGTTATCTAAGAGCAGAAATGGTATGATATTGTCAGTTGCTACTCTGTAATAAGCTCTTAAAGGAAAGAAACTAGTTTTTTATTGCTTTCAGTGAAAGGCTAAGGAGGATTGAGGGTGGATGTTTTACAGTTTGAAAATGGGTACTCCAAGAGAGGGAGAATGAAAAGGAGCACAAACACTGGGGTGAAATTCAGGGATAATGCTAAATAATGCCACGTCTTCAGTTCACACACTTATGTGGTGTCCGCACATCTTCCATCCAAAGGTTGGCATGTATCCCATCAGCCCGCATGGCTCAGAATCAGTCCCAGGGTGCTCCTGCCTGAATCACCTGACTCTCCCTCATTGGCCGCATAGCTCTCCTGGGCCTGGCCTCAGCTGGCTGCCTTTTCGCTTTCTGCTGTTCCGCAAAGCAACTGCTTACCCGAGTAGCAGGATCATTCCCTGAGGCTGCTGCCCGCTCTGCACCATCATTCAAGCAAGCGCACCCATGCAGCCACCTCTCCCCTCCCTTGCCACATGTGTCCAAGCCCCCCATGTGCTGGACTGGCACGGGCTGCCTCCCTCTACACCCAGGGGGCATCTGCACAAGCAAACCATTCCGGGGCAGAGGGACCACCTACACAGGAACCATGAGGGTACCTATATGGGCATCTGCTAGGAGTTTTTTGGCTGGCCACAAGGAGTGCATTTGCCCTACAGCTGTGGAAGGGTTTGTTGACAGCCTTCAGGAGCAAGAGGAGCGGCAGGGAGGGCAGGAGACGTGGGCTTCTCAGAGCAAGTGCCCAGCGGCAGCCTGTGTGCTTCTCTTAATGTAGGGCAACTTTCACAGGAGGAGACCACCTTCTCTAAGAGTAGAGCAAAGCTGCCAGTTTGAAAGTGGCCCTTGCACTGTAGCAAGAGGAGTGCCAAGTGTTCCCACCTTCAAGTTGCTGTTCTTTGAGGGAGTGCAGTGTGATGCCACACTGCTGCTGAGATTTCAGAGCTGTGGCCGGGCACCAGGAAAGCAGTGCATGGGCAGAGAGGAATGGTGGCACAAGGTGCCCACTCACCGTGCAGCTGCAGCTGCCTCAGCAGTTGCTAGGCAGAACAGGACAGGCAAAAATGCGCACTGCAGAGCCACCAGACTACGGCAGAAATGTGGAAACTATGCAGAAACATGGCAACTAGGCTCACACATGACAAACCACAGTGACGCACAGAAACCATACAGCAAACCATTGAGTTCCTATGTGGTTTCATGTAAATCAAATATGCCAGTTTGCCGTGGATGTTAGGTTCACACATAACAGCAAGCCATACCTTTGCAGTTTTGCACATGGCTTGTCATTATGAGTAACTTCAGCCTAAGAGTGTGTGTATACATATCTTGAGCATATATATGTATACAGTAAATACATTTTGAGTGAGAAACTTTTATATATATTTTTATGTGCCTACAGAGTCTGAGCAAACAAGCTTAGAAATCAAAATGAGATGTAGTATAAAGGACAGGCAACTAGAGAGAGCCAGTGTGGTGTGGAGGTTATTTTGCTGGGCTGCAGCCCCAGAGATCTGGTTTCTAGTCCCCACTTGGCCACAAAGCCCACTGGGTCACTTTGAGACAGTCACCCTACCTCACAGAGTTGTGAGAATGAAATGGAGGGTCATAAACCATTGGATGTTTTGCAAGAAAAAGATGGGCAATAAATGTACTGTAACAGTAATAATACTTACACAATAATCCATTCAGACAACAGCATCAATTAAAACCATCTGTTTCCTTGTAATTGTCTTTGCACGAGACTTGTCATTGTGGCAGCTGCCTAAGAAGAGGGCAGCATTGTGCACACTGCAGTGTGCAGAGCAGTGCTAAGGCATGTTTCAGTGCAGAAGCTGAGCCAAATGCAGACAGAGCTGTTACCGTCAATTATACAGATCAGATAAAAGTTGGATAATCTGTCAGGCTATACAGTACTAGAAATACATGCCTAGGAGATACAAGTTATGTAAACAGGAAACACATCAATCATTCTGAATAAATTAGAAGTCAATTCCTGACATAAAATACAGCATTTTAAAGCCAAAGGTGTATAGCACTTCTATCAAATCATAGCAAGATGCACAAAAAACTTAGCCAGGGTGGAGTTCAGTCTACCTATTCATCCTTTAGGCTGAGCATCAAGATGTATGTCAAGTAGCATACAGCTTATTGAACAGGGTCTAAAGAGTGAAAAAAAGGCAGACAGTACTAAACAAGAACACCAGTGCTTGCTAGGAAAAAAGACCAGGGCTTGGGCTATAAAATAAGTTCTAAAGTAACATTGCAAAGTAGGTTTGTACAAGAGGAATCACCCCTCTCCTGCTGAACTGGACACCAAGAACTCTTCCCCAATGAGATCACAGAACCAACAGGTAGGTCAATTTGCCATTTTTTAGAACAGAAGATCTCAGTCCATAACTTCTTGCAACCTCTTGCAGAAATAATGTTGTTTCTGGTGCCCTCACTGAATATTGGCAGGAAAATTCTAACAGTACAGAAATAGAATAAAGGATGGGACTCTTTATCCACCCAACAAATAGTCTTATTCAGTTTGACGGGCTCCACTGCATCTGATGAACAGCTAAGATTTTCTGGGAAGCAGCAAAATCCAGCTGTTTATTCCCACCTGGTAGATTCTCCTTGTTCTCAGTCGCACACGGCTGTGGTCGTTTCTTGAAGTAGCAGACACGGCAGACTGATTGATACTTGTCTGCCCCTCCTATCACTTCGACCTAGTTGAACAAGACAGGAGCTTTAATTCTACCTCAGTTAAAAAGAAAACTATTTTGCTTCTGTTGATCTGTCACAATTACATCTCAAGCTCACAGGAAGATAGGAACTCTCCTAAGGAGGGGACTGTACACACTCTCATCTTACCTCCTTTTCTGCTCCCAGCCGCTTTGTATAAGAAGCCTCATGAAAACACTCCATGCAAACAGCATTGAGTTTCACCACACTCTCTGCCAAAGGAACGAGCTGCAGGATGTTTCCAAAGGCCTGCAATAAAACGGCTAGATGCATCACAGGGTTTTGGTAGATGCTGTCCAGAAGATCCCATGAAACATTCAGGGAAACCTACCTTCCTCTGAAAGGTTCCATCCAGGGCTGCCACAACAACTGTCTTCCCTGCATTGGCCATTGTCTCACAAAACTCAACGATATCTGGAAACTAGACGGGTAAGAGATAAAAGTTGCTATTCTTCTACAATGGTCAAATCATACTACTTAAAATTCTTAGCTGCAGTGACTAGAACTGTTTACCATATTCCAAACATGGTTGCACCATAGATTTCTATATTCCTCATCTGGAATACTGTGTCTAGTTCTGGGCACCAAGATTTAAGAAAGATGCAGGTAAATTAGAAAGGGTCCAGCGGAGGGCAACAAAAATGATCCAGGGTTTGGAATCACTGCCCTAGGAGGAGACTGAGAGAACTGGGCATGTTCAGCCTTAAGACTGAAGGGGTTAGGGCAGGGTAACAATTGGGATTATGTCAAAGGGAGCAGCCGATTACAGCCACTTTGTGGTCAAAAAGGGTACTTGGTCCTATTTTGCTGTATTTGTAGACAGGCTCTTCATATGTGTGGCTATAAAGCTAAGTAACCTGGAAAGAGGAGTATTCGGCAAACTGAGCTCACACTTTCCACGTGCGTCCCAGACAAGAGAAGCGCTGTTCCATTGCAACTTGAGCAGCACTTCCCCACCTCCAGTATTACCAGTGTGAAGGTACATGGTCTATTTAGCTGCCCACATTTCAGGACAACATGAATGGAAAAAAGAACTGCAGCCATGGACTGGAATTCATAAGTTTGGCTGGCTTTGGTAAGTCAAGCCTACAACTGGGACTACCTGTTGGTTTGGTTACTCCAAGTGCTGTAGCCAAGAGATACTGCACTTGCCCACTTGTTCTGGATGAGGTTCTGGAGCCACTGTGGCCAAGTGAACCACTGTCTCCTTTTCCCATTTGGTCACTAATCAGCAGAGGAACTCCAGCCACCAGAAGCAAGCCAACACCTTTTCCTCCAGCTTTCCTCCTAATTTTGGATCTATGAGAAGGACATCAAGTGCCATGCAAGTACCAAGATAATCCCCACCCACCTCTGCAACTCTCCATACTTTCCAAGTGGTAGCAGCAGAGTTGCCATTGCAAAGAAAAATGTGGAAGCCCAGCCGTAGGGTAGTCACTTGGTGGCAAAGAGGCTGCCTGGGTGGAACAGTAAGCCTGCCATTACCATCAGTCCCTCTGGATTTCTAAGCAGCACTTGGGGGCGGGGGCTGATGGTAGGGCCAGGAGAATTATCTCATGTCCAAAGACCACAGGCAGCTATCACACAGTACGCTATTGAATAGAAATGTTTCTTCTTCATCCATTTTAGTCCAGGTCTGAGATGGAGACTTGCATTTTGGGGCAGGGGGTAGAGAATGCTAGAATCCCTAATTTCTGCTAATGCTTTTTAGGCTTATAAAGTGAGAGTTTACCTTCAAGTTCTGTTTACTGTAAAGACACAGGTAATCTGTGCAACATAATCTGAAATACACACTCATGCTTAGGAAAACCAGGTACCTTGCTGGGTCAAGCCAAGCCGCATCAATCCCAGCATTCTTTGCAATACCAACAATTCTAATGTAGTGTACACTAGAAACTAGTTAGTAGAGGTCTATATTCTGTTCACACCCTTTCACAGTCCAGCAAACATCTTTTTTTAAACTTGAAACACTGCATTGCCCAATCAAATGCTTCACCCAAGTCTGATGACCCCATCACTGTCAGGAAAACAACTTCTAGGGAACCTAATTGCAGAAGTCTGTGTGTTACAGATAAGCATACTAAAAATAGTTTACATGAGAATGTCCTTGGAACTGAATTAAGTATGCCCTATTTAACAGCACTGTTTCCTCTGTGTTCCTGTATTTTGCTTCATGTGATGAGGGCACATACTGCAATCCTGTATGGGTCTACTCAGAAGTAAGCATGGTGAACTAGTGTAGTGTGCTAAGTTACTGTTGGACAATGACAGAGAACTCTGCACCTTAGAATATGTCCCATCTTCTAGAACTATTAGTTTCTTGAGATGACAATTGATTGCTATTTCTGCACGTTAGCATATTATTGGATTTTGTGTAATATGCCTTACAACATTTACCAACATGTATTTTGTAATGAACGGTTAAAAGCTTGTTCATTAATTGGAAGCTAGTGATGGTTAAAAGGTTGGAATGGGGCATGGAAATTATGGGTTCTAGTCCCCACTCCTCCATGAAGCTCATTGGGTGACTTTGGCCCCATCACTGACTCTAGCCTAACCTACCTCACAGGATAGGTTAGGGTAGAGGATACATTGCTTTGAGGACACATTGGAGAGAAGGATCATGAACATTGCCTTGGGTTCCTCGGGGGAAAGGAAGGATATATAAATTCCACCAAGCTCAACAGGACTAATTCTAGGAAAATGGTATAGCATTGGAGCCCAAGCCCCCAAACTTCTTGAAACAGAATTTGCATTGATTATTAAATCAGATTATAGACAAAGAACTTACAAACTGGCCTTCATCAATGCCAATCACAGCACAGCTGAGGGCCTCTTGCTGCACATCCTTGAGGCAACAAGCTGACAGGGCCTCCATGGTGTTCCTATGTAGAAAAAGAAATGTTTGTGATAGCTGGAACAGTCGGTTAAAATCTATGCCAGGACAAAGTGCTCTGTTTCCAAGTTTTAGTACCTGGAGAACTTTTCTGAAACCTCAGTGGTAACTATGAAAGAGTCCTTTAAGACAGGCAAGTGGTTGTTTGAATCACAAGATTCAAACACGATAGCAAAGTGTTCCAGCATCGATAGTTTCAAGTTTGTCTTCTGGGAATTTTCTGTGTGTATATACAGCATAGGTAGGTGTTGGCGTGTGATAGAAACAGACAAGCAGTTTGAGCTTGTTGAAGGACTCTTACGATGCCGCCTTACTCAAGAAACGATGCTGGTAAAAATGAACGCTTGTGGATCATGAAATATAGCCTACCTCAGGTACAGTGGAAAATGAGTCATGTGAGTAGGGGAGTCCATCTATAGCCAAGTGTGTCATAAAGTGTGACATGTTCCATCACAGAGGGAACAATTTTGTTGTTCAAGAAATTTGAACCATTTTGTTGGAATGACTGCAGACAGCAGGACACTAGACCATCACCTCGAGCTCTTGTTGTTTCCCCTAATTAGCCTGCAGTCCCAACTTACCTTAAAGAAGCTGGTATCACTTTGTATTTTATGGATTACTTATAGATGGATTACAATGGATTACTGATGTGCCCTGTAGTCAGATTAAGCCTTGTGGAGACTATAAATGTCACATGAAATAGTTACAAAAGAGCTGTTCAAGAGAGATGACATTGCCTGAATATATGTGAATGGGTATCATTTAGAAAAAAAATATTGGAATTAAGGGCATCTTGAATTTAGAGCATAAGCCTATGGAATATGTCCTCATTGCTTGGAAGCCCCTGAACCTGGAGGCTTCTGAGAGACATATGCCCTGCTGGGCTGAAACTGGTAAGGCATGAAGAGTGGTGGGGGTAATCCTTGCCAATCCATCCTTTGATATACGAGTTTTGCTAGACAAGCCCATCTTGTGAGAGTACTTTAGAGAGGGAGTGAAGGTGGCTGCAGGAAGCTCAGGATATCTTGAATCCTGGCCTCCCTGGGCTCCTTCCCTTCCTGCCCACCAGAATTTCCCCTTTTCTGACTTCAGAGAAACAGAGCAGTTTTCCCTGTGCCAGCTGCAAAGGGGTGGGAAAGGAGAGTTGGATTTCTGACTCAGATCATTTTCTCTGACCTTGGAGGGGGGAATCCAAGCAATCCTATGATCCTCAGATGTTTGCCCAGGGCCACAGGATTGCCCTCTTAGTTGTCTTGCCTACCTTGTTTAAGTCTTTTCTACACAATTATTTAAAAAATTGTCTATTTTACATTCTTGATTCTAATTTTGCTGGCTATGGAAAAGGCACACAGTAAGCAGAACACTCACATCCTGATCATTAAATTGCTTCTCAGTTTTTCCCATGTTTTTTACCTCCAGGCCTTGAGCCATATTTTGAAGCATAACTATAACATTTTAAAGGTAATATCTGACATCTCATGTCATAGTTGTTATTGAGATACATTCCACAATTTTATAGCATCATCAAGGACATATGTAACACTGAACTGTACTCTGCCACTAATGTGTTCCTCAGAAACCAGGAATTCATGTCTGGATGTTCTTTCTTCCCACTGCTTATAAAATATTTATTTATTTATTAAAACATTTATATGCCGCCCCATTTGCCGAAGCCTCGGGGCGGCTTACAACATAATAAAATATCTCTAGCAATTCACCTGTCATGGGTGGAGACTCCATTGACACAGTAGCGTGTGTCCTTGGCATACTTAATCAGCAGACATCTGTATTGTGCAATCTGGAACCGACGGACTCGGCGCATGAGTTCAGTACTGCAAAGGAAAATTGAAATCCAGTGGCAAATAATAACCAGAAAAAGCTCAAGTACTTCTGGCCAGAAATAAAACTAGCTTGGGGTAGAAAGGCAGATAAAAGATAAAGGTTTGCCTGCTGGACTAATGAAGGAAACAGGGTAAATGCAAAGAATAACTGCTTTGGTCACATATCCTCAGTGTGATGACAGTACCTATAATCCTGGAAAACTAAAAGTCTGCGAGGGAACTGCACTGGCTTTGCTCAGCAAGCAGAAAGCAGCATCACACCTTTCGATGGAAGCCACGAATAAAGAAACAGCAATTATCTTTATCCTACCATGGGACCAGCCTGACCTTTCAGGCTAGGGTGGGGGACTTGTAACCCTCTAGATGTTATTGGACTGCAGTCCCATCAGCCCCAGCCAACATGGCCAATGGTCAGAAATTAGGAGGCTGAGAGTCCCACAGCTGGAGAGCCACAAGCTCTTCCACCACTGCCCTACAGGAAAGCAAGCTCCTGTGTACAGCAGTGCCTATGGAACCCCTGCCTTGGTGCACTTTCACCTACTCAGCCAGGTTCGAAGCAGGCCCACAGCAGTGGAGAGGCAAGCAGAAGTGCTGGCATGGCTCTGTGCCACAGCTCAAGAGTGCTGGCAGTTGAAATCCAGACCTTCTGGAGATCTTACTATCACCCCCTCTGCCACAGACTAGCAATCTCTAAGCTGGTGGCCTCCAGATGGGTTGGACTGCACCTCCTACCACAGGGGTCTCCAACTCGCGGCCCGCTTGCCGGGCCGGGCGGGGCACGGGGGAGGGGCCCTGTGGCCTTCAAAGCGCCGGCGGCACCCGGGCCGGCCTCCAGATGAGCGGCCCACCACCACCGCTTGATGCGGCCCAGCCTCACCCAGACTCTACTTCCAGCGGCCCCCAGGTAAGTTGAGTTTGAGATCCCTGTCCTACCACAACTTTCCACCTATAGGTGCCATAAATACTAGTCATTTGTGACATCCATGTTCTAGATTTCCATGTTATTATGTTATAATATACCCACAGTATTGAGAATAATAGTGTGTCAGTTCAACACCCAGATTACCAGTACAAAACTACACCATTGCATTTTCCCATTCTAATTTCCAGTATACATACCTTTTTCCAGAGAACATGGGTCCAAAGATGACCTACAGTGGGAGAAAAAAACCAGTTAAGATCATTGTCCCTACCAAATACATAGGCTGCCCATCCACTGGCCGCTGATCAAACCAAGGTGCAGGGCAGATAGAGCAACTTCCACTAACCTGATACCCTCCAGCTATATTCCATTGCAACTCCCATCTTTTCCAGTCAGCACACTGGCTGGGGATGATGGGAGGTGCTGTCATAGTTGAACACATTTGGCTGGCAGCAGGCTGTGGAAAGCTGAAATATAGTTTCTTGACCCAGTGCAGCTAATGTTCTTGCATTCGGAGGTGGAGTGCAAAGATCCCCACAGAGCTCCTTCATCAGGGGGGTCTCTCGCTAACGCTGTCTGGCCAACATCTATCGCTCCCCCCTTCCCATTCCACCACTCTCATCCATTCTTCTCTTCCAGCCTACTGCCCCGAAAACACCACGCTTAGTACAGACAGCTCCTGCTTCCTGTTCTGTCCGCAAAACCATCAGCTTCCCGATGAAGAAGCCTTTCATCTTAAACCCTTAGAATCCTCCGGTCGGTCAAATAGTGTTCCCCTTTCATGCCTGTATCTGGCCGCGGGCTTTGCGGGGCGACCCTGGTTGCACTCCCGGTGTCGTCAGGCAGTTCATAGCTCCGATTCACGGCCGCTCGTTGTTCCTCGCCGGGTCACAATCTCTTGGATCAGATTTTTAAATCGCGGGCGACCCGCTTTTTTACCCTTTTTATACCCGGGAAGAAAACTGTCCAATCAGAACGAACCGGGCCAGCCAAGAGACAATCAAAAGGATTTTCGCCGCGCCTTAACCAATCACAGACAAGGCGGGAAAAAAGTCTTGAAAGAATTTGACAGACTCCCGCCTATTGTCCGGCTCGCCCGTAAGGCTACCTCTGAGCATGCTCTGTGAAGTCATTTTTGGAGGAAGAGTCGCGTTTGTGTTGACGTGCCAATTGGCAGGTACTTTTAACACTGTGCTTCCTGTTTGGCCCTAACCGAAAAACACTTGTGGTACGAATATATTTTTTCTAGCGTAAGTTTTAGTGGAGAATATGTGTTTTAGCCTTTAAGGTACCGTAAAACTTTGTGTTGTTTTGACTGAGATAGACACTGTCGACTTTCCCACCCTCTCTTCTGCAGGCTCTTTGTGCTTTATTTATGCATTATATTTATATCCCCTCTGTTTTTCCTGAAAGGAACCCAAGGTGACTTATGTAATCTTCCTCCTTCCTATGTTATCCTCACAACAATCTATGAAGTAGGTTAGGCTGAGAGTCAGTGACAAGAAACCAGATGACCATGGATGAGATGTGAGTGAAGGACATGAATGATCCATCAACTAACACTGGTCCATGACGGCTATGCATTCTGAGTGGCTAGAGCTGTACACTGGCTCAGGAATCCACATTGCCCTTCCAACTATTTGACCCAAAGCATTTTAATAAGGGATGAAACATGGGTTGCTCTGAATGTATCCTTTTTACAGAGCCACTGAGCTGTAACTCAACATAGGATTCTCTTTGGACAATATTTTAGGAACCCTGACCCCAAGCACAGGGCTGTAGGAGCTGTACCATGGGCTCTGCCTTCTGTGTGGGTACCAGAAGTGGGTGATTCCTTACTAAAGCAAATTGCACAAACCATGATGGGCAAGAATCCAAACAGCAGGTGATTGATCTCAGCCCTCCATATTACACTGGCTACATCCGTTCTCAATTTAGTCAAAGCTCTGGCATCTAAGTAAGAAGAGATTTGAGTAATTTTGCCCATAAAATGTCAACACAAATAGGTCACCACGGGCCTTGGAGGGTTTAACATGCAGGCCTACTAGTGCTGCTTTAAGCAGTTCCTCAACTGCCTAAAAAGCTCCACTAGCTGTCATTGTGTAGACACAAAGGTGGCAAGAAAGAAGCCTTTTTCCTTTTATTTATTTATTCTACTTTTATCCTGTCCCATTAGCCATAAATTTCCCTGGGCAGGTTACAATTGCCACAGAATCAGCCTGAGATGTGTTCAGTACTAACCTGTGTTCAGTACTATTGATCTATCACCTGTGCTTTAGACCTTGTCCTGCTGGGCTTGTAATTTCATCATTCTCACTTTCTTGAAATATCAAGAAGCCAACATAATTATCCAGTCGGCTGAGGATACTCATGGTCCAAATCATCTCCCAATTCTAGGAGTAGATTAGGGCTTTGACAGGACCACTGGCCAAATCTATGGAGAAAGTATCCAAAATATGTCAACAGACCATGAAAACCAATCTTTTACCTCTGCAAAAGTGTGACATGAAAAATTTGCATTCTGGCACCATGAACTATACTTCCTGGAAGACGGACTGCTGGCAAGGGATGGGCTGCCCCTTGCAAGGACTGGAAAGAATGTGTTTGGCCACAGCGTGAAGAAGATCATCAGGTGGACTTTAAACTAAATTCTACAGGGCAAGAAGTACACCTTGGACTTTTAGTCTTCCATGCAATAGAATAACCATGTACACCCACATTCTCACCCCACTGTACGGTTCCTGTTCAAATGGGATAAAGAATACAAAAGAAACATTATATCAAATGATTAGGACAGGATCCTGCTTAACACATGAAATTTTTCAGATAACAGTCCCAGGTGCCAAGGAAGTTTCAAGGAAGTCTTGAAATACAAGCTTTTTCACTACAGAGCGTAAGAATACAAATTGGCCTTGTACGCAGAGGTATATTTCCCTACTAATCCATGCAGGTACAAATATGATGACATTAAAAAGAAACACAGAAAGCTGTACAAGTCAAGTGATCAAAAGACAAAGCATTGCTGGTCTATGACAATGGCAGTATGGCTAATTCAGTTCTGAGAACTTAATCCAGATCATTTGGAGATCAACTTTCTGACCACACATTCGTTTTTATATATTGGATTTGGGGTCTTTTGCTTTTGTATTTTATTATTCTTTTGGATATCACTTTTTGGACTCAGTTCCCTAATGTGATTAACAAACTAATGCTAGAAAATACAGGAATTTTCCTATTAAGTAAACTAAGGGCTTTTTTCTTCAGGTAGCCAAAGTAGAAATGTTTAATCTCTTTCTCTTATATGTTCACAAAAATAGTTCTTAATTTGCATACAGATGTCAGCTTGTACCTTTTAGCCGGAAATTGCTTCAATTTACTGTGTTTACGGAGGGTATCTGGTTGGAAGTAAATGCATGACTTGTCCTACCCTAAATCCCAGTGCAGATGTGCATAGTTCCGTTTATCAGTGAATGCTGACCTTGCTCATGCAGCAATTACAGGGCACAAGCCAAGGAAGACCACCTGATTTGCATTACATTTAGTCCTAGTGGATAAATTTGGTCACATGGTTTTGGTAACTCTAGCCTAGTTCCTCTGCAGCTGAGCACATAGATAGAACAGACCGAATGCAGTGTAGGTCACAGCTCAACCACCGATATGGGAAAGTGGCAAGAAATGACAAAAGAGGTAACAGGATTTGCTGGGGGATACAGATACGATTATGGTTATAGCCACAAAGAGAATTTGAGACCTGGGGTTGACAGCACAGTTTATAGAATTCCAAAATCCATTTTAGTTAAATGACATTATTAGGCCAGCTCCGAGGTTATAAAAATGTTCAGCCTTGTGAGATTTCCAATGCGCATGATCGAAGGAAATGTTATCCCAAAAAGGTGTGTGTACATGTGAAATGGGCATAGAGTTGCAAGACTAACTAGACACTGAAATTATGATGAATATTGTGTTAGTCTATTACTGCAACAAAACAAGGAATATTGTGCCTTAACTATCAAATGTACTATGTTCATTGGAAAGAAAATTATAATGGGGGATGTGAATCTTACATGTACACTTGAGAGGTAGAGGGCAAGACAATTCTGCAAAGTTTAGGATGACAGATGGCCATTCAATTTGCAGAAGTTAACAAGATACAGTAATAGGCCTGTATTCTTGAATGGCCTCAAGCACCCCCAGTTTTTGCCAGCTAGTGTTCCATCCGCTTAACATTGCTTGTGAAATAACTTGTTAGACCATCATCTGATCATTTTTATTACTGTATTCACTGTACTGTATAGCTCCATAGTATAATGCTATGCCTTATTGTATCCTTCTATACCAGGGGTGGGCAATTAATTTTCCTATGGGGCCACATGAGAAACTTTGACAGTGGGTAAGGGCCGGACCAATACACTTACAGCTCTGCTCAATATCTCTCTCTATAAAAACAGTAAATGAAACATTACAATGATACAATGACAAGGTAGAGCACAGAACAACACTATTTAATGAATATTTATTTTATTTTTTGATTTATATCCTGCCTTTTTCCTACAAAGGGCTCAAGGCAGCTTACATCATTCTCTTCCTCCATCTTATCCCCACAACAACAACCCTGTGAGGTAGGTTGGGCTGAGAGTCTGTGACTGGCCCAAAGTCACCCAGCTGACCCCATGGCTGAGCAGGGACTTGAACCCAGATCGCCTGAGTCCCAGTCCCATGCTCTTAACCACTACGTCACATATTCACAATTACATTACATGAAAAGCAATAAATTCAATTCAATTTAGCAGATCCTTCAAACTAAAAGCAGTGCAGTTGTATTGCTTGCATCTATATTACGACAATATATATTTGCATTGACTTTTAATTTGCCAGTGACCTCATGCAGGCCAGTCAGCCATCGGGCCGGATGTGGCCCGCGGGCCGTACAATGCCCAGCTCTGTTCTATACTGACCCATAATGGACATTCTCTAGGTGGCTCGCACATATATTGAAATGCAGTGCAAAAACTGAAAGCACAATTAAGGCACAGAACTTTAAACTGAAAGGTGCAGGTTATTTAAAAGGCCTGGGTGAGGCCTTTTAACAAGCTCTACCTCTGGCACCAAGAGACTGTAAAGATGGTACTAGCCAGGTACATCTCTGAGGTGGATGCATTTACTAACTGGTGCTGTCCTTGAAGGAATCCTCTCTCCAGCCAACATTTGGTTCAACAGCTGGGGAGAGGTACTTGGAGAAGGGCCTCTGAAGGTTTTCAGGTCCTGGTGGGTAGATAAGAAAGCAGTCTTTAAAGAAGCTGGGCTGCAAGCCATTTGGGGCTTTAAAGGACAAAGTGAGCATTTAAAACAGGCTCCTGGAAACAGACTGGAGAGAACTCCTAGTTCAGTTAATCATATTTTAATTCTGCTTAAATTGCATGCAGATAAAACAAACTGAATTGTGAGGGATTCCTTGCTCATTTACTGCCTAATGATTAGATGATGCCTGCATGCCTCACTGGAGGGCCCCTCTCCAATGAAGCATTCCTCCTCTTGAGAGAAGGAAGCATGCCCACACCCTCACTTTTATTAGCTACCCAGTAGCTAAATCACATTGTTTAGAAGTGTCACCTTGATAATTCATCAGGCAGGTTTTTAGAATTGTTTAATCAACTGAGGCTGCAGTCCTATATCCACTTTCTTGGAAGTAGGCCCTAATGAACTCAGTGAAGTTTAATTTTAAGCAGACAGTTGTCAGCATGCCATCATATGTGCCTACACGAAAGGAAAGCCTACAAAGTTAAAATAGAACCTACTCCTAATTTAACTTGTATAGGATTATAGAGCTCCAGCCCTATTAATTTTTGTTACCTGGCTAGCTCCAAACCAAACGAAAGCCCTTTTGAATTCTGTAAATTCCTCTTGGTTTTTCCAGAAAGAGTTATAATTTCCCCCAGGAAGAGGTATCCAGAAATCATTCAGTTGTAGGAATCTAGCCATTTCTTAAACAGGTTTTTAAAACTTTCCAACATCAGTGTTGAACTGTATAGTTCTATACCAGGCAAAGATGAGTCCCAAAAGGCCCAAACAGCATTTATTTATTTATTTAAAACTTTTGTATGCCATCACCACATGCCTTGACATCCTGGGATGGCTCATAACACATACAATTAAAATCAATAACAAATTCCATAAAACATTATATAAAAACAAAAAGAGTGACTGTTAACAATAAATATTAGTTTTTTTAAAATAGCAATTAAATAAAAAGGTTTTAACTTGGCGCCAAAAAGAATATAAACTCAGTGCCAGGCGCACCTCTCCAGGGAGCGCATTCCATAATCTGGGCGCCACTGCAGAGAAGGCCCCGCTCCAGGTAGATGTTCTTTTTTCCTCTTGCAAGAAACCCAAACCACTCAGAGTCCTCCTCTCCAATTTAATTCTCACTATAACCCTCTGAGTTAGCTTAGGCCAAGAGTAACTGGTTCAAAGTCACCTAATGAACTTCATGGCTGAGTGCAAACTAGAAGCCAGACCTTTCATGCCCTAGTCCAGCGCTCTAACCATCACTGGCTCCCAATTACTATGCTTTTAGCTACATATTATAGAATACAAATACAGTTTGGTAAATTTAATAAGTCCAGTTACATTACACAATTATACACACACACACACACACATATACACACACACACACACACATATACATACTCCATTATATAGAAATAGTAGTTGAATGACTAGCACTTTTACATATCAAGTAACTTATGCTTTTAGAAAGTGAGGCATTTCCTAGGGTGCAGCATCCTTTGCCCTGGACAGTGGTTCCATCCCTACTTTGCTAGATTGCTTGAAAGGCAAGTTCAGGCAGAACAGAATCAGCTACATTTTGTTCATCTCACCTTGTTGCTGCAGCTCCCTGTTCTTTCCATCAGGTCTGTGGCTTGTACATGGAGGAGACAAGATGCACACTACATCACAAAAATACAACTGACTCTGTCTTTAATATATGGTAAAGATATAGTTCACCTGACACTAGTTTTTAGACTAAGAAACACATCAAGAGATGCAGAATAGATTACAGCTATGCTTTCACCATAACATAGAGATATTTGCCTATTCCAACTTGGGATTAAACCCAGCTGAATTTGCCAGTGTTTCTCAATTGTCTTGTCCATATCCTCTTCAGTTTAGACAGAAAGGTGCCAGTATAGCTGTACTAGCTACCCTGTTCTTCTCCCCTTGCAGGAGCTGGAGACTCAGTACTCCCCAAGCAGGTGGTCTCCACGGCTAGATAAGGATGCTGTGATCGAGGCTCATGTACAGGCAGTGAGCAAAGGTAAAGGGTCCATGGGCAATTCAAAACCTAGCAATGTACAGGGCAGGAACAAGCAGAAGGTAGGTCATCAGAGGCCCACTGACTAACTTCTGATAGACTATTTAATGCCTTGCACTAGAGAAGATTGAACACAGTCTGTACTGGTTACTCAATATGGAAGAGATCCTGAGGATGCATTTTAAAGACACACTGGGGGACCATGGGGGTTCTAATGAGTAGTCCACAGAAGACTAAAGTCAGCACATTCCTGGTGTAGGAAAGAAAAGCATCTTATAGGAAGAGCTAGAAGAGACTGTGGATGGAAGGATCTCTTTCTAAACTAGTGAGAGTCCCTCTCTTTGAAACTACAGCACGGGCAAAGTCTGTCTTGGTTTCTCAATGGGTGATGCATGCAATTAATGTATAGCAGTACTGTTGCCTGGAGCCTCTTTGGAGTTTGGGAGGGCAGCCCAGATACACTTTTAAAATTACCCCTTCTCTCTCCTGTTTTCCTTATGCGTTGGGTCTTTTACACTGTAAGCCTTTGAGCAGGGAATGTCTTGTTTTGCTGATTGATTGTAAGGTGCTCTGGGGAGTATTTTTGGCGGAGGACTAGGATAAAATACTTTGAATAAATGGATGGATAGCATGGCCAAGTAAAATGTTCAAGCCATCGCTCTGTGCTTCCCTTTGCTCTGCAGGTACCCAAAATGCCCAGGCTGCCACCCAGACTCTGCTGAATGTGCCCTATGGGTTGGGTGAAGGAGAGAAACTTGATGTGTACCTTCCTAAAGAACATTCAGAAAGTACGAACAGTGCAGGGGGCACTTGATGGAATGGATGGGATGGAGAGATGAGGAACTGTGGGATTGGGTCGTATGTGTCAGGTTGTGTCTCAGAGCCAACGTGACTGAGAGATATGCGAGGAGGAGGAGGAGGAGGGTGCAGTCATGGAGCACGTGTTGCAGGTGCTGGCCTCTCCTGCCTAGTTATCCACTGTGTCTGTTTTCAGCCTTTCCCCTGGTCCTCTATATTCATGGTGGCTACTGGCAATTCTTGAGGTGAGTTGGCTGTGATCCTGGTCTTCTGGACTTAGGACCTAAATAGGATGGTGTGCCAGGCAGCTAATGGAACTTCTTGGGATCACTTGCTTGGGCTGGAGCTGGGGTAGTGATAGTAATGGAAGGCATGCTTAGATCGGGCTTCACCTCCTGCCCTTTTCCGTCTATCTTTTCACCTCTAGCAAAGACATTTCGGGCTTCACTGCAGGACCCCTCACCACCCACGGCATTGCCTTAGCTGCAGTTGGCTATGATGTGGCTCCGAAAGGTAAGTGACTGGGGTGGAAGAGGTTTTTTCCACTCTGCTTTTGGGTGCTCCTGGACAAAGGGCTTCTAGCACTCCCAGCCATGAAACTTTTGACATCAGCTCCACCTTTTTTGATTTTCTGTTGTGAGGGAGAAACATGGGAGGATTTTGAGTGGACAATGTTGCTATCTAAACCTCTGGTAAAATTGTGCAAATGAGGCAGGGTGAGGGCAACCTAGCTGGGGAATATCCTCCTCCTCTCTAACATTGTGTGCCTTGCTTGGATATTGTGTTTTCTGCTCAGGTCAGCTGGAGGTGATGGTCAGGCAGGTGCGACAAAGTGTGGCTTTTGCAGTCCAGCAGTACACAGGGATCAGGTAGGCAGTGCGTACATGCTGTGAGGTGCTATGGGAAGGTGGACATGCATAAGAGAGCCACCAGGACCAACTTACAACCAGGCCAAGTCCAAGACAGGACTTGATAGCTTTTGTGTTCTGACTCCTCTGGCTGTCTCTCCTTTCTGCCCCAGTCTGAGCCTCTTCCTTCTCATTGTGTTCATATCTCATTTGCCTTTAGTGGTATTTATCTGCTTGGACATTCAGCAGGGGCCCACCTAGCTGCCATGGTGCTCTCCACAGACTGGGCAGAATTTGGTGTTGTGCCTAACATCAAAGGTACCTTGTGGGAGATTTCCCCCACCTACTTCTCAGGTTCTTGGCATGATGGGTTTTCCCTGCTTTTCTTGTCTAAACTATGTAACATGTTTAATTATCAGATGTAGCTGGGACCTCACTAAAACTTTAGATTTCTTTCCTAGGAGCCTTTCTGGTGAGTGGCATCTATGATCTGGAGCCCATCATCCACACCTATGTCAATGATACATTGCGCATGGACAGGTGAGAACTGCTGCTTAGAATAGGAATGCTCAAGTTATGGAAAGCAGTAAAACTGCAGTGGGTCTCTTGGAATCACTCCTTTAATGACCTTCTGCTCTTAATGGCCCATATAAAATGAGTGGGTGGGTCTGCAGAACTCACCTATGGATGAGCTTAGCTTCTCAGCTCAGGCCTGCCCACTCTGCCTCCTATTCACCTCTGCACTGTGTGTGTGTGTGTGTGTGTGTGTGTGTCTCCTCAGGGTGGTGGCCCAACAGAACAGCCCTGTGCGCTATGTGCCGAAGTTGGAGGGCAGGAGAGATTGTCAGGTACTCGTTGCTGTAGCACAACATGACCCACCAGAGTTCCACCGGCAGTCCCAGGAGTATTTTCAGGTGTGTTGTTGGCAAGTGTTGACATTTGGCCATTCAGTGACTGGATGGAAGAAACTAGGAGAAATCCTTTTTTTAAATCAGATTTTATCATTTTCTCTATAGATCCCAAATTAAAACAACAATTATTCAGGACATCGGACGTATTGGGTTGACATCTCACTCTTTTTTTTACATTCAATAATCATATTCAATTCTATGCATAGTCCCGTTTCTCTACCAGGATTTATCTGAATTTTCCCAATGCAGCCTAATGTACCTCATAGGATTGTTGTGAGGCTGCTACCAGAAAGTGGACTATATAAGCCAGCATGGCGTCCTGGCAAGGGTTTATAAAAAAGGAATGGTAAATATACTAATAAATGAAGAAAAATAGTTGTCTTTACTTATGTTCTCCACCTGAATTACAGCCACACTTCTGTTTCCCCTAAACTGGTCAGCCATTCGCTTTTGCCTCAGAATGCCCCATGTAATCTGATACCTGCTCATATTCAATTAAAATGTTTATTGCTTTTAGCGATAGGCTAGGGGTGGCCAAACCAAGACTTGGGAACTGCATGCAGCTCTTTGAATTCATTTTGCGGCTTGCCACCCCCTGCCACTGCCTGCAGGCGCCTGCTTGCCGCTGTCAAATGAACATCTGACATTCACCATATGTGGCTCTTCCACTGAGCAAGTCTGCCATCCCTGCTACAGGCCATTACAAGCAGTACAAGGGAAGGTTATATTGAAGGTCCAGTCATGACAACAAAAATGCCTTTCAGTGCTCGGGTAGCTTTGAGCCATTGAACGAAACAGTTATTGAATGTAATGCGGCCCATACATTCCTTTAACTTGGGGTTATTTTTGAATGGTGGTCAGGGAAATAGACACAAGTTGGTCAGGGTAAGCCAGCAAATGGAGAATGACACTTGAGTGGCTACAAGGCTTCCCGTCTAGCAATAGGAACAGCTGAAAAGTGTTTCCCCACAACCTCAGATTAGACTGCTGACAAAGAGCGCTGTAAGGGAAGGGGAACCAGGAGTAAAATTTTGTGTGAAAGGACCTTTTGCTGTTGGTGCAGCTTATGGATTCCCGGCCTGTGCATGCCTGTAAGAGGCAACCTGTTCCTTCATTCTCATGTAAGTCTGCTTGTCTTGCACTACTAAAGCCTCCAAGTTTTTAGTAAAAAGACAGAATAGATCCTATAAGCCTGAAAGCTGTCCATTCCTGCCTTAGGACAGAGGGACTTGCAATGACTATGGGGAGGATAGTTTTGTTAAAACTCCTGTTGCTTCCCTGTAGGCTCTTCGTGCAGCCGGCTGGAGTGCCTCCCTGCTGGACATGGGTGACACAGATCACTTTGATATCATTGAGAAGCTCACTCAGGAGGACTATGTCCTCACACAGGTATTCAGCCTAAAGGCCTTCAATAAAATCATGGTGGCTTCCATGGTGTGTGTGAGAGAGAGAGAGAGAGAGACAGACTGACGGACAGGGAATGAACAAAGGTGCTAGGAACAATATCTTGGGTAGGGCAAGATAGCCTGCATCTTCATAACACTATGGCTCTGTTATTAATCCATTTACTACTATAGCTTTGTACCACATGATCAAATGCATAAGCTCCCCCACTGCTGTGAATATGCAGACCAAGTGTCAGGTTAGAAATGGGGCCTCCACTTCATTTGCTTACCCAGAAGCATGGGAGCAATTTCCCTTAGGTATGAGCCTTTAATCACAGGGGAACAAGATTTGGGTGAAACTTTTCCATAGATCTTTCCCACTCAACTGCAACTCTTCCTCCCTGGAATGGGGTACTAAGCAGAAGGAAAAAGCTCATGCAGTTGACCTATGCAGGGGAAAAATATATGGAAAAAGCATGGGACATAAGACGTAGTGAATAACTACAAGTTCAGGCCCTCTTTATATGCACACATTTTCCATGGGAGCAACTTTGCTATGGGTCTAATTTATTATCTTTCTCTTGTGTGTGTGCATTCTCTCTCACTCCCCACCTCCATGATGTTCCAGATTATTTTGAAAATGATAGCAAGAGGCTGATGGCTGGAAAGGGATGAAATCCTCACCCTGCTGTTCTGTCTCCAGTTATGCAGAGGACCTGTACTGATCATACTACTGCCTTCTCATACCATCTTCCTATTTTCATTTATTTCAAACTGCAAATGGACTTCTGTCACCCTCCTTTCTCAACTGCAGTTGTATCCAGTTGAGAGATCTCCATGGAAGAGACAAGCCTGAACTCTGAAATGCATTCCCCTTAATTGTTTTTGAAGTAAACACATTTCCTTTCCCATTGTCTGCCTGGCAGAGAGACTTCTGGATCCTACTCCTGCAATAAGTCCTTCTCTTGTGGTTTACTGAGATGAGAGCATTAAATAAAACCAGGGCATAAATTGCAACTGCATTGAGGTTGTAAATCACTTTCCTCTGGAAAGGAATGTGCTAGGAGTACCAGCAAGACATATTGATGCATAAATCACCACTTCTTTTTCTTCCACCTAAGTGTAAACTGAAGGTGTGTTTCCTTCACTTGGAGCAGTAGTTAAATCTTTAGTTGATGTTCTAGGTACACATGAAGGTGGGAGGAAGGTGGGAGGGCAGGCTGTGGAGAAGTTGCTAGATAACTTTCTGATATCAGTGCAAATTAGGGAAAATGTTGGCCTACATTTTAATCACCTTTTAATCTATTTGTTTTAAATGAGTTGTATGTGCTCTTTGTACTAAGACTCTGAATGATCTGTGTCTGTCACCCACCCACCCGAAGCTTTCTTCTTCTGAGTCTAGCTAGGCCAGTGGCATCTAATCTGACTGGCAATGCAAATAAAACACAGATGCTATGGAATTGAAACAGGTGCTCTGGGCCATTATAAAATGTCAGGCTCCTTTCTGTTACAGCCAAAGGAAGTCTTGTACCAGGGAACTGACAGGAAGCTGCAAATTCTGAGCAGAGCCAGGCTAAATTAGGCTATCATTTATATGGCAAACACCAGATTTTTAAAAGACAAGGATACCTATCACGATTGTTGAAGAAGCAGTGTTAGAATGGAAAATTACTGAGTCCTTAACTTGGAGTAGGGCAAGGTTGGCATGCATCTCATGATACGACCTAGTAATGCCGGTTTTCATGGCAGGACTGTTTTGCTGCCAGAATTGAATGGAGCTGGTCTGATAGCATTTCTCCCTATTCCTTCTCCTGCATTCCACTGCGTGAGTGTTGCAGAGAACATGCTGATACTTGCTTTGCTCCCCACTGGCAGCTCCTTTGAAAAATGTGCAGTGCTGCTGCCTTTCCCTCAGCCTTCCTCCCCCTCTCTCACTCTGCTGAATGCACCTGGCTCTACCTCCCCTACAAAGGAGTTAAAGGAAACAAGGAGTTAAATAACTCCTGTTAAATAACTCCTGTTAAATATTTAACAAAGGAGTTAAATAAACCAGAAGGAGTGACAATGTTCAGCAATAGCCTCTCTCCCTATAACAAGGGCAGACTGCAGGGTGTCTGTGGTGTAGTTCGGTCCTGAGAGGATGGGATGGAGAGGTGAAGTTCTACTGCCTCTGGCCTATACACATGGCTTACACTTCTCCCCCTTAGAAACTGTAGGAAGTTTAAGGTAAAGGTGCTGGAGCAAGGCTTTGGGAAATAGTCGGAAGGAGAGTGCCTAGCTTTGTAGATTTCACTAACAAATTCAGGTTTGCGTGTTCTTGTCCTGGATCAAAGTGCACTGAACTGCTGCTGTTTGCATCCCCTTCCCCAATTTGATTTTTTGTCTGTTTATACAAAGAATGACCGACATACATCAATTTTTGCAAATGTATATAATTGCTATTTTTGAATGGCAAAATTCTCATGTATGGGTAAATGGTGTGCTATAGCATGTTTATCTGTGAGAGGGAATGACGTGTGTGCATTTGTATTTCTGCCTGGAATGCAATCTCCAGGCACATTTGATAGGTTCCCCTTTCTTTGAAAGCATTCTTATTCAGAAAAGCATTTAATATATGATTTTTCTATAGTTCAAACAAGGGATGACCTGGCTCTTGCTTCACCCCATGTTAGAATGGAGACCCAGAGAAGTCTCTACTTAGATAACGAGTGGGTTTGCAGGATCATGGAAGGAAAATAAACCCTGTTTTGGATGGCCTCCACCAGAAGAATGGCAGGGAGATTATTACGGTTAAACAGTGCAATGAACTTTCCCTGTGTCCACAAATCAGAATAGGGTCTTTTTTTTTTTTTTTTTGGAGTCATACCAAGGCCTTATGGTCTCCTTTGTTAGGAAAAGTATCCAAGATAATTGCCTTTAAACTGCTTTTCCCAAGTACATTTCTTAGATAAGAGCTGCTTTGCAGGAATGGAAACTGTTTCCTTTATTAAGGCAGGTCTTTCCCCGCCCGGTTGTTAGATCCTGTGTGTACCCACAGTGGGAGAGGGGAATTTTATGAAAACCATTGCAATGTGTTGACTTTTTTCTCTGCTTGGGGACAGAAATTAATGTGTCACTTGCCCAGGCAAGTTTGGAGCCTCTGGCCTTTTCAGGGAACAAATACAGCCAGAGATAAGGAAGTGTAAACATTACTTCTTTATACAGTGGTACCTCGGCTCACGAATGCCTTGGTTCACGAACAAATTGGGTCATGAACAAAAATTTCTGAAAAATTTTGGCTTGGGTCACGAACACCGCTTTGGGTGGCGACCAAGATCGCAGCCATGCCCCCCCCCCCCGGTGTGGGGAGATGGCCACGATCCCAGTTGCTTTCGTGCAGGGAAGGGGTGCCTGATCAGAGACATGCTGCTGCAGGAAAGATGGGAGCAGCAAAGCAGAGCCGTGGGGAGATGGCTGAGATTCCGCCTGTCTTTCCTGCAGGAGCGCGCCTCTGATCAGGCACACTTTCCCTGCACGAACGGAGCTGCGATCACAGCCATCTCCCCACCCCCAGCGCACCGTTTGCGCCCATCTCTCCCTCCCCCAGTGCGCCCGCGATCACGACTGTCTCTCCCCCCCCCCACCCCCCAGTGTGCTGGGATGACGGGCGCGATCTCCGTTGTGTTGGCGGGGGTGGGTAGGTGGCCACACTTGTGCTTGGGGTGGGTGGAGGAGATGGCCACGATCTTTGTAGTTGTCACTTTGCTTCACATTTTTCCAATTTAAAAAATGGTTACAGAACAGATTAACCTTATTTACATTGAACCTTATGGGGAAATTTAATTTGGTTCACAACCAATTTGGGTCACGACCAGAGTCCTGGAACGGATTAAGTTCATGAGCCAAGGTGCCTCCATGTTTTAGCATTGTATTCAATAAACTATCATCTTTGACATAGCTGGTTTCATTTCTTACCTCATATCCTCAATTTAAAATGAGGCACAATGGCTGGACCAGGCCTGCAGGGATTGATATAGCTGTGGCAGTTTATTTCTCTCCCTGTACATGTGGGTCTTGAGCTGCCTAATGAGCACAATCGCCCTCGCCAGGCACAGGTTCTTGTGGTCTCCAAATCTGGCAAGGGTTGGTCACTGCAGTACTTGACTGACTACCCTGAAACCTGTGATTCAGAGTTTTCAGGGTGGTTTGACAGGTTCAGATTTCACACCCTCCATGAGGGTAATTCTGTGAATCTGGTCTCTGTGAATGACCTTAAAGTGACCATTCTCCAACTAAGGAATTTTAAAAACAGATACCAACATGAAATGTCTAGAGTATTACTCAGAAAAAAATCCCACAGAGTTCAATGTGCCCTATTCCCTGTTTAGGGAAGACTGCCAAAAGGCAATTCTTGGAGTGTAAAGAATGAAAAAGCCTAGGTGGTTAACAGAAGGCAAACTGTTGCTTAGGACAGGTGAGGAGCAAAAACTGAAAGAAGTAGGGGCAGAATCCTGAATGCAACTTTTTAGTAACTTTTTAGTAACACAAAGACAAAAATGGCTATTAAAATGACCAGTGCTGTCACACCGAAATCCCACAATTAAGGCTCAAATGATCAGTTTCTTGCGAGGGCAATTAGGTTTAATCACAATTGAACGCATGGATCCTTGGGTGCCCAAGACAGGACCACCCAGTGCTACTTCCATTGGGGTTATATAGAATGCACAAAAGGGGAGTGAATACAATGCGCAGGAAGGTGATTGGATACTTTGATATGGGTAGGAAAGTGATTGGACACACGGCACAGCACCATAAAGAAAAGTTCCATTTCACTCTGATTAGAGACCTTTGACAGGCCTTCTAAATTAAAGTTACCTTGAACAGGCTGGCCAAGTTAAGCAAACATAAAGGTCACATGTGTGAACTTACAGGGTTAGGGAGGCACTTTAGCAAGCCTAGAAAACACAAAGAGAGCAATTGACAGTTACCCACTAATGGAGTGGGGTCATTTGGTCTTCACCACCAGATACTGAGGCAGCTTTTGATGTGTTTATGGCAAGGCAGTGGGGTGGGATGGCAAGATTTGTTTTTCTGAGTACAGCTTTCCCCCCTTTATACCAAGCTGCCAAGTGTAACATGACTCTGTGTATATCTGAGTCAACACAGTCAGGTAAAACCATGGCTGAGCCCACTGAAGGTCTCCCCCTCCGGGGTGTTTTGTCCACAGGGGTTGCCATCATATGAGTACTCTGTATAACTGATTGAATACTGCAAAGCAGAATAAGGACGGCTACTACACAACTCATGACAACAGCATCTTTTTCCACCATGCCTTACCAAAAATGTTATCCCACCAGTACATGTGTATAACTGTGGTGTTTTTACTATGTGGCTTCCCTCTGGTCAACCATTCTTGAGGTGTTTGGGAGTGCTGTAATTGGCAACAGCTTCTAGCAAGAGAGAGATTCTCCTGACCAGGGAGACAGGCTGCCAAGCCTCTGCAGCTTTACTTTGAAGGTGCAGACTGTCTGTGCAGGTGAGGGCCATTTGGCTAGAGAAACAGAAGCACAAAAGCAGAGTGATTCAGAAGGGATCTCTTGAGGCAATCAGTTTGACCCCTGACTCCAGCCAGTTCTGTTCATGACATGCCTACCATATGCATGTCTGAGAAATACTAGAATAATTGTTGGCAAGCTCTGCCAGTAACAGCCTCGGTTGAAGAACCAAGAAAACAATCCTCCCAAGCCACTTTTACCAGAATGAAATGTAAAGCAAATTATAAAGCATTGAACTTTTAAATGTGATGCTCTAAAGAAACAGATTTGTCTTCTACAAGTGTTGCAAACCCTGTCCTGGCTTGCCAGCAACACACTGTCTAGCAACTTTGTATGTCAAGTTGCTGTAGTTGAGCATTCTATGTCTGAAATGGCATTAGCTATTTCGCTAGAAACACAGAGAAGGCAGAGGCTAGTGCTCTAATGTCATGGTGATTTGAGAAAACTCCAACTGGTGGAAGAACGGCACAGAGAAATTAATACCTTAC